GTGTTGTGAGATGCTTTTATGAAATAGTGTGTCTCGTGTGTATGAATTAAGAATTCTTTAATGCAGCTATAATGTTGGTGTAAACTGATAAATATACTCTCAGTCTCCAAAAATAAAACGTCATCGTGAGCAAAGAAGCAGGAAACAAAATTAAAGTGCAAACACAGAAGGTAAAACATTTTAGCACCACTAACTTGGTGAGCCATACTTTAAAATCCCACCTCAGAACGCAAGCAAACAGTGATAGTTTACGTTCAGGTATGTAAATCTTTTGTGGTGTAGTGCATTGTGGCTGATGTGTGGTTTTGACAGGGCCATGGATGTGGAACTGGTTCTCCATGCTGTCTGGAATGGAGTGATAGGTTTGCGGGTGCACACCAAGTTGCCTCCCTTCACCTACAGAGGAGAGTCGGAAGCACTGGAGCTCTCTAAGCCCTGGAAAGGCTGCTGAGTCCAGCGTCTTTGGGCATGTAGGTCAGAAATACTCTGCAACATCAGAGTTTGTTGCTTGAGCAAACCCATGATGTCTTGGTGCATTTCCTGATGCACTTCTCAGTCCCTTTTCCTCTCCTGCAGCAACCACTGTCTCCATTCTCAGTCCTTCTCTATGGTCATGGTCATATGGCCCTTCCAAGGCCAGCGTTCACAGCAACACGCAAGGGGGAAGCACCAGTTGTTGGCCTCCATCGCCTTCTGGTATGCCTAGCAAAGTTCCTTTGCTTTCCCATGGCACTGCTGCTCATCCCTGTCAGGCCCCATAGATGTCTATATTTCTGTGGCAGAGCATCTTTCCCTACAGGCCAAGAAGATCTAAGACTTCTAGCCTGCTCAAGACAGGAGTAGGTCTAGTACAGAGGTGGGCAAACTATGGCCCACGGTCCACATGTGGCCCGTGGGACTGTCCTGCCCGGCCCCTGAGCTCCTGGCCCAGGAGGCTCGCCCCTGGCCCCTCCCCTGCTGTTCTCCCCCTCCCCTGCAGCCTCAGCTCACTGCATCACCGGCGCGCTGCTCTAGGCGGGGGCTGCGAGCTCCTGGGCAGCCCAGCTGCAGAGCCCGGCCTGGCCCGGTGCTGCGCGGTGCGTGGCTGGCTCCAGCCAGGAGGCGCGGGTGTAGCGCTGCCAGCCACGGGTGCTCCAGGCAGCGCGGTAAGGGGGCAGGAAGCAGGGGGGTTGAATAGAGGGCAGGAGAGTTCCAGGGGGTGGTCAGGGGGTGGGGGTGTGGATAGGGGGCGGGTCAGTTAGAGGGCAGGGCACAGGGGGGTTGAATGGGGGCAGGAGTCCTGAGGGGCAGTCAGGAAGGGGGGGTTGGATGGGGCAGCGGGAGGCAGTCAGGGGCAGGAATTCCGTGGACAGTCAGGGGACAGGGAGAATGGGTGGTTGGATGGGGCAGGGGTCCTGGGGGGGGCAGTCAGGAATGAGAGGAGGGGTTGGATGGGGCGGCAGGGGGCAGTCAGGGGCGGGGAGTCAGGGGATAGTCAGGGAGCGGGGGGGTTGGATGGGGCAGGAGTCCTGGGGGGGGCCATCAGAGGGCGAGAAGCAGGGGGGGATAGATAGGGGCCGGGGGCTGGACCACAACTGGCTGTTTGGGGAGGCACAGCCTCCCTAACAGGCCCTCCATACAATTTTGGAAACCCGATGTGGCCCTCAGGCCAAAAAGTTTGCCCGCCCCTGGTCTAGTACTTGTCTTTATGCGTGGAGCCGGCATGGTTGGCTCCACACAACAAAGGGGAGGTGGTAGCTGTGCTCGTCAAGGTGGGCAACCAGGAGACTGCATTTAAAAAGCATGCGGAGGTTTGTAAGGGAGAAGGTGAGCTTCCAGTCTCTGTGACGCCTGGGCAGTGGAATTCAAAACCATGATGAGAATGGCCACTGTTGTGGGGACAGGGGCACTGTGGGACAGCTGCTGGAGGACTGTTATGGTTGACACAACTCATGCAGTGTCTGTACTCACACATTGTCGACCTAAATAGGTCAGTTGTGGCTCTGCATTGCTCAGAAATGTGGTGTTATTGTGTCGCGGTAACAGGGTGCTTATGTCGGCAGGAGATAAATTTTGGTATAGACACATGCACAACAAGGTCGACACAATTTGACTTGGGTCAACGTAACTTTGTAGCAGAGACCAGGCCTGCATGCAGCTGGAGCAATGTGCTACACTCTTGTTCTTCAGCCAGCACGAGTTCTGAGCATGTTCCTGTCCTTCACGTCTGTTGAAGCCACTGCATGCTTGGACTCCTCTGGTGTTTGAGAGGGAATGCGCTGTTCTGTACTGGGTAATGGGGGAAACAGCCAAGGGTCACTGTCGTATATTTTCTTGTGTTTCCATATTAGGCCGAAGCCAGTAGATTCAAGAGATTTCAACCATTTTAATGGAGGAAGTATGGACCGGTGGATAAGGCCCTGGGCTAGGAGTCGAGGAACCTGGGGGCTCTATCCCAGCTCAACTGCTCTCTGGCAGGGTGACTGTGGGCGCACAGTGTGACCCGTGTGTGCGTCCGTGGCCCCATCTAGGAAAAGGAGTTGAGCCTATTTTCATAGACGCACAGGGACTGGAAGGGACTTCGAGGGGTCACCTAGTCCAGCCCCCTGCACTGCTGGCCATTCCTAACAGTGTGTCCAACCTGCTCGTAAACATCCCCAGTGATGGAGATTCCACCATCTCCCTGGGTAATTTATTCCAGTGTTTAACCACCCTGACAGGAAGCTTTTCCCAATGTCCAGTCTAAACCTCCTTTGCTGCAATTGAAGCCCGTAGCGTCTTGTCCTGTCCTCAGAGGTTAAGGAGAACAATTCTTCTCCCTCCTCCTTGTAACAACCTTTTACATGCTTGAAAACTGTTATCACACCCCCTCTCAGTCTTCTCTTCTCCAGAGAAAACAAACGCAGTTTTTTCAATCTTCCCTCATAGGTCATGTTTTCTAGACCTTTCATCATTTTTGTTGCTCTTCTCTGGACGTTCTCCAATTTGTCCACATCTTTCCTGAAATGTGGCACCTGGAACTTGACACAATAGTCCAGCTGAGGCCTAATCAGTGTTGAGTAGAGCAGAAGAATTACTTCTCGTGTCTTGCTTACAACACTCCTGCTAATACATCCCACAATGAAATTTGCTTTTTTTTGCAACAGTATTACACTGTTGACTCATATTAAGGTTGTGATCTACTATGACCCCCAGATCCCTTTTTGCAGTACTCCTTCCTAGGCAGTCATTTCCCATTCTCAAAAAGAAAAGGAGGACTTGTGGCACCTTAGAGGACTAACAAATTTATTTGAGCATAAGCTTTCGTGAGCTACAGCTTACTTCATCAGATGCAATTTCCCATTCTGTATGTGTGCAACTGATTGTTCCTTCCTAAATGAAGTACTTTGCATTTGTCCTTATTTAATTTCATCCTATTTACTTCAGACCTTTTCTCCAGTCTGTCCAGATCATTTTGAATTTTAATCCTAACTTCCAAAGCACTTGCAACCCCTCCCAGCTTGGTATGGTCCACAAACTTTATAAGTGTACTCTCTGTACCATTACCTAACTCACTGATGAAGATATTGAACAGAACCGGACCCAGAACTGATCCCTGAATGGGAGGAGGGCTCCAGGGCCACACAGGGATGGGGCAGATGTGCCTGACTGAATGGGAGGGGCTAGGGATCAACCAGGGTGTGTAAGGGGGAGTCCCCAACTCCCTAACAATTACTCTTTCCCCCTTCCCCCCAAAGAAACCATTCCATACTTCTCCCATCCACACCCAGTAGCCTTCCAGGTTTGCTCCCAGACTCCTTCCCTCTCCCTCAGCTCCTCTGTTACCCCTGACTCCCCCAAGCCTTTGCACTGCTTCTGACGGGTGCGGGGAATATGTTTCTGTATTGTAGTTTAAATGAATTAGTCAAAGTTATTGTATTAATATGTCTAGGAAGAAACCTATCCATCAAAAAAAAAATTCCTGAATCTTTTTTTTGTCTATATTGTTACAGACATACTTACTGACAGGTATTTTGAAATAACTTACCAAAATAATTGAAACTGGTGTGATTATTTTGTCTTATTTTGACAAATAAAATATACAGAATTTTGCAGAATTTTAAAATATTGTGCGCAGAATTTTTAATTTGTTGGCACCGAATTTTAAACTTTTTGGTGCAGAATTCCCCCAGGAATAACACATGCACCTGCCCTCTCTGGTGTTGCACATAACCCTCACAAGGTTGCAGTGATAATGCTCTGCTCTCCCAGCATCTCGAGTGCCCTTGCTTGTACTAAAGGCTTGAGATGACCCTTTAGGGAGAGTATTTCAGCAGAGGACAGCTTGAATTCGCAGTTCATTGGGAAGGCAGGTCATGTGATGTGCATTGTACACGACTTCTTGCTTTCGATCTCTTTTCCACTCTTCTACCTTGCAGAGCTTGTGCAGATTTTCTTGGCGCTACTGTTCTGTGACCAGAACTATATTATTGGAAAACTATGGCTTTTGCCCCACATCTAATTGAATATGAAAGCTGACAACTGGTTTTGCTGCTGTGGTTTCCTATTCTGGAGTGCCAAGGCCGCCAGGTTGTCAGCATGATTCACCGCAACATCTTGGTTTGTTCTACAGCAGTGGTAGTGAAGGGTGGTGCTAATAGGGGACGGCAAGGGTCCTTGATGGAGGGCTGGCGATTTCCTGCTGTAAAATTAATAATTGGACACATTTGCAGATGAGCGTTAACAAGAGGAGTTGGGTGGGAATTTACTCATTGCATTGGAGAACAAGAATGGAGGGCAGTTCTTGTGGGTGCTGCTGCTCCTCCGAAGCCCCTTCTGAGCAAATCCTCTGTGAAGTATTCATGACTTGATGAGTGGGGACTTATGCATGTGGCTCCCAACAGCACTAAATCCACCCTGCTTTGCAATAAGATCTAATTCCTGGAGTATTTTGCTTAAAATAGTAAAACTGGATGGCTGTTAAAGGAAAACTGAACCAGATGGAAGCAAATGGCTGCTTTTAACCTCTTTATTTTTTTCAGAGTGCAGGATGCCGAGGAAGAAGAAGCATGCAGAAAGCCCTGACTTTCAGGGCCCGGACGGGGAGGAGGAAGAGCCGAGGGGCCTGGTCGACGCCAAGAAGAAGCGTAGTTTTGTGGATGCCTTTATTGTTATATCTGACAGCGATGGAGAGGTCAGTGGTTAAAAAAAACGGAACCCAAAATCCTGACTGGGTCATGTTTACCTACCAGTGCGTTCCTGCCAAGAGACTGTCCTGAGTGGTACCTACTATGCATCTTGGGGCAGCCTGCTGCACTTTGCCATTAGTGTTTTGCTCTGTTTCTTTTTAAGGTGTATTTCAGATTAATCATGTCCCATTTGGCTAGGAAATGAGCCGTCTGATTGGCTGGTGCTGAGTCCTGTCTCTGAGATTTGATAACCAAAACCTGTCCAAACACAATCTGAAATCTAATTTAAATCATGTTTCCTCAATCGCCTTGCAAATCTTTATCAAACTTTTTATTTTATTGCTGTTTAACTAAATCACAGAAACGTGGTTATGTTACATGTAAGTAACTGTTCAAAGTATAGCTAGTGTCAGATCATGAGACTGAATTATGGAGGTTTGAGTGTAATCCACTCTCATCCTTAACCACTAAGCCGTCAGAGGTAACTGCATTGCTTATGGTAGTCTGGAGGTGACTGATAGTGTCATTGGTTCAGGGGAGCTCCAGAGCCTGGAGGCCTGAACTCACAACACGGAAGGTATGTGAGACAGGACCAGATTTGAAACAATATTTTCATTTGTAATTGTTAAGTCTTGGCTTTGCTTTGCTCTGTCAGTGATTTGGGAGCCTAAGACGCTTTTAGAATAATACAATTTTAACAAGCATTTCTGTTCACTTGCAAGCTATGGGTCTTAAATCAAGTGCCCTTAGTGCCCACACCAAGAGCATCAGTCTTGACAATAAGGCAATTAACATATGAGGAGTGGAAAAGCACTAGCAGGAAGCAGGAAAAACAAGCTGCAGGGCACATGCTGTTGTTTTTGCACATTATCTGAGCTCTTCCCCATTGGGAAATTCCGTTAACTAGACAGATCTAGATTGTCTGGCAGTAATAGGTCACTGGGGCTAAACCCTCAAGCTCTGCAATAAGCTAAGTTAACTTCAGATGTCTGCTGTATCACTGGCCTTTACTGTGAAACTGATAAGGAAAGAAGAAACCAACAGCTGTAAGAGATGTTGATGTACATGAAAGATCAGGACCTCTCATTGTCCACAATTATTCCTCTTAACATGCATGTGATTTGTCTCCTCATTTTCAATCATCTTTTAAAACATGACTAGGAAAAGATTAGTCTCCCTGACTATACTGTATGATCAAGTCTATAAACAAAAAAGGGAAATCATGCCTCACCAGTCTATTAGAATTCTTTGAGAGGGGGTCAACATACATGTGGACAAAGGGGATCCAGTGGATATATTGTACTTGGACATTCAGAAAGCTTTGACAAGGTCTCTCACCAAAGACTCTTAAGCATAGTAGTCATGGGATAAGGAGGAAGGTTCTCTCATAGATCAGTAACTGGTTGAAAGGCAGAAAACAAAGGATAGGAATAAATGGTCAGTTTTCACAGTGGAGGGAGGTAAATAGGGGGGTGTCCCAAGGATCTCTACTGGGACAAGTGCTGTTCAAAATATTCATAAATGATCTGGAAAAATGGGTAAACAGTGAGGTGGCGAAATTTGCAGATGATACAAAGTTATTCAAGATAGTGAAGTCCAAAACTAACTGTGAAGAGTTACGAAGGAATTTCACAAAATTGGGTGACTGGACAAGAAAATGGCAGATGAAATTCAATGTTGATAAGTGCAAAGAAATGCACATTGAAAAATACAATCCCAACTGTACCTATTGTGACAAAGTTCCTGCTCTACCTTGGTGGGTCTTGCGCTTATTGGCGGATTTGCTCGCCTTGGAGCTTCACGGCAGCCCTTAGCTTGGCCGTTTTTCTGAGCCCACAGTCCAGGTCAACTCCTCCTGTGTCTGACCAGGAGTTGTGAGGATTTGGGGGGAACCCAACCCAGGCCCGCCCTCTACTCCGGGTTCCAGCCCAGGGCCCTGTGGAATGCAGCTCTCTAGAGTGCCTTCTGGAACAGCTGGGCGACAGCTACAACTCCCTGGGCTACTTCCCCATGGCCTCCTCCCAACACCTTCTTTATCCTCACCATAGGACCTTCCTCCTGGTGTCTGATAATGCTTGTACTCCTCAGTCCTCCAACAGTTCGCCTTCTCACTCTCAGCTCCTAGTGCCTCTTGCTCCCAGCTCCTCACACTCACACCACAAACTGAAGTGAGCTCCTTTTTAAAACCCAGGTGCCCTGATTAGCCTGCCTTAATTGATTCTAGCAGCTTCTTGATTGGCTGCAGGTATTCTAATCAGCCTGTCTTAATTGTCTCCAGAAGGTTCCTGATTGTTCTGAAACCTTCCCTGTTACCTTACCCAGGGAAATGGGACCTACTTAACCTGGGGCTAATATATCTGCCTTCTACCACTCTCCTGTAGCCATCTGGCCCAACCCTGTCACAGTATGTAGTCCTTGCATGTTGTATATAGTTAGTAAACATAGTTATTTGGAAAAAAAAAAAAACAAACCTTCCCTGTTACCTTACCCAGGGAAAAGGGACCTACTTAGCCTGGGGCTAATATATCTATCTTCTATTACTCTCCTGTAGCCATCTGGCCCGACCCTGTCACACTATAAAATGATGAGGTCTAAATGTTCAGTTAGCACACAAGAAAGAGACCTTGGAGTCATTGTGGATGGTTCTCTGAAAACATCCACTCAATGTGCAGCGAACAGCATGTTCGGAACCATAAGGAAAGGGATAGATAATAAGACAGAAAATATCTTGAGGCCACTATATAAATCCACAGTATGCCCACGTCTTCTATATAGAATGTAGTTCTTGTTGCCCTATCTCAAAAAAGATACAGTAGAATTGGAAAAAGTACAGAGAAGGGCAACAGAAATGATGAGGGGTGTGGAATAGCTTCCGTGTGAGGAGAGCTTAAAGTGACTGGGACTGTGCAGTTTAGAGAAGAGACAAGGGGGAGATGATTGAGGTCTAGAAAATCGTGACTGATGCGGAGAAAGAGACTTGGGACGTGTTATTTACCGCTTCCCATAGCACAAGAGCTGGGGTCATCGGATGAAATTAATAAGCAGCAGGTTTAAAACAAACACAAGGAAGGACTTCTTTATGGAACGCACAGTCAGCCTGTGGAACTGGTCAGGAAATGTTGTGAAGGCGAAAAGTATAACTAGGTTCAAAAAAGAACTAGATCAGTTCCTGGAGGATAGGTCCATCAGTGGCTATTAGCCAAGATGGGCAGATTCACAAACTCCTGCTCTGGGTGTCCCTAAACCTCTGACTGCCAGAAGCTGGGACTGGACGACAGGGGACGGACCACTTGATAATTGTCCTGTTCTGTTCATCTCCTCTGGGACACCTGGCACTGGCCACTGTCGGAAGACAGAATACTGGGCTAGATGGGCCATTGGGATGACCCAATATGATCATTCTTATGTTTTTAATAAATTCTGATGGCATAACTGGCCATATGACAGAAAGGGATGCCCAGAGAAGCCATTAATGAGCCAGTTAGGTTCTGTTTAAGTGACAGCACCTCACAGTCAGCTGGATAAGTGGGTTTATTCAGTCTGGTCTGTTTCTACCTCTCAATCCTTGGCTTCCAGATCTGGAGTCATAGCAGTGCCCTCCAGTTTTGTCTCCTGGGAAGGATCTCTGCTTCCTATGGGTTCTGAATAATAAATGCCCGGCTTCTGTAACTTACCCTCAGCCTTGCAATGTACATCAAGTTGAATTTTAGTCCTGAGCCCTGTAACTGTTGATTTTGCTCCAGCAAGACCTTGTTACCTGTCTATAAGAGGTGTGTAATACTCCAGATAAATAGCTATTTTAAAGAACAATAAATTCTCAGTTCATCTTGCAGTTGTTAGGACATGGTTCAGGATTCAAAGACAACAAGGAGAGTCTTGGACAGCACAGTGTCAGTGGCCTTTTTCCTTGGCAATCTCCTGGAAGATATCTGTAGTCCCCAATTCTCCTCCTAGACCAGCAGATCTTGTAGCAGAAGCACCTGGAAAGCCTCTGGCTTCTTACTGTTGATGATCTCTGGTGAACTGACTCTCAGGAATTTCTCAGTCATGCTATATTGCCAAGCTCATCACTGCTATTTTGCCAAGTTTCCTCTATTTGCTCAGGACTTTTCAGTGGCATTTGAAAAGTCTTATCTGCAGGAACTTTTCTGGATAGTGGGTTGTGTAATCCACACTGACTGCCTGTGTCTTATCCTGGAGCCAAGGAGCTCTGGTCCTCCTTCTTGGAAAGAGTCAAGCAAATTTGAAACTCTTTTCCCAACTCTGGAAACAGGGGGAGATGACCATACAGCATTCCCTGCACAAACAGGAAATGCTGTGGGAAGTCTGTGTCACCACATACAAAATGGTTCTGATCCTTTCTGGTTGGTGAAAGTCTCTGGGAAACACCAGGCCATCTGTCGACAGAGATTGTTGGTGCTTCCTTGAAGGACAATCTTCTGTCTATCCTCAGATCTGCACTATTTCAGCCGGCGCGTGAGAAACCAGCTGACACTAGCATCCTCGCCAGTTACTGCTCTGTCTCCTGAGAAAAAACATGCTGTACAATTTGGCTTGATGCTGATAGACCCTTGTCAGCTGGAGGTGAAATCTCGCTGTAATATGGCTGCGTTGCCAGCCAAGCCGACGAGCTATGGGCAGAGCCCAGGTAGCTATGCTAATACTGGTAACAGATCAGCAGCCTTATAAAGTGATTGTAAAGTGCTGCTGGTTTGCCAGTGAGACCTTTCAAGGGGAGGATGGAGTCACTTGAAAGTGGTTTCACTCAGTCATCCTGGATAGAGCCCACAGGGCCCTAGTGGGTAGCTGCTTCTATTCACAGAGCTTGTGTGAAGTCCCACAGAGACTCAACATCTACACCAAGCCCCTGGGAGAGGTTGCAAGATGCAATGGGTTGCAATGCCATCTCTGTTCTGATGGTACCCAGCTCCACATCTCCTCATCTGCCACAAACACCACTGTTACCCCAGTGTCCCTCATTTGAAGGTACCTGGCACCTGGATAAATAGAAGCAGGTTTATTTTCAATCCATTGACCAAGATGATCTTGGTAGAAGGAGAGGGAAGGGTTTGAGGGACTGGCAGGAGCAATAAGCTCAACCTCTAATAAATACCTGGCTTCTGTAACTTACCCTCTGGTAGTCAAGGTAGCATGTAGTTCATCTTGGGTTAGGGAGTGGTCTTGTGGCTTTCTTCTTGGATGCAGGCCTAGCCATGGTGAGAGATGGCTTTTTGACACTTCCACAGTGGGCTACTACAGGGCCCTCTACCTGGGGCTAACTGTGAAGGCCACGCAGTAGCTTCAGGTAGTTCATCACATAGTGGCCAACATTCTGGGTCAGACAGAGCCATGAGAGCACATTTCCATAGTGTTCCATGGTCTGCTGGCCCCCTGTCCACTTCCAGATCCATTCCAAAGTCCTGGTCCATCTCTCCAATGGGCAAGGCCTTGCCATTTCTAAGATTGGCTGTGCCAACAGCGAAGTTGAGGCCTGAGGTCCACAGGTGAAACGTGAGGAGGAGAAGGACATTCTCAGGGAGGACCCTTGGCTCCAGAACTTGCTATCACTGGCAATAAAAGCGAGCCTAGATCTGGTGCCAGGGACAGCCCCTTCTCTTTGCACAGGGCTCTCTCTCACCTATTGGAAGCTGCAAGTCTGGCACGAGCCCAGTTGCATCTTGTTGTTGAAGTCTCTGCTTTCAGCAGGTTTATGCTGATGAACTGAAAGTGGGAGCAGAGCGGCAGTGGCATGTGAACTGAAGTCTGAGACTAACAGAGCAGAGTGTGACTTTGATTTCAACAGCAGCCTTGTCTAGTGGCAGGAGTGGTACTTCCAACATCAAATTGACTTTTAACCGTTAAATTATGCAGGGCTCCTGTGATTTTGGCTCTGCCCTCTTGTTGCATGCTTGGTAGCACAGTTGTGCTGTGCTGTTGACCTGCCCTTTCCCTTTGGTGATCTCTTCTGGCTTCCAGTGGCCATTTCTTTTCATGAAGATGCTTGAAGCAAGCTCCCTGTCAGGCATGAGGGCACTCGCTGTGTCCAGGGGAGAAGGAGGGGGAGTCAAACAAGCAGACTCTTTAGAGGCAGGTGGAGTTGCACCTGCCTGCATTATGGCTGGATTTGCTCCTCTGAGTCTGTGCAAAGTGAGTTTGAGAAAGGTCGTTTATTTTTCTATTGCCTGTTTGAGCCTATCATGAAAAACAGATGTTAAACACGCAGAGAGCTTTGGAAGCCAACTGTTTTCTCACTTTTTGGACAATGCTTATAGTGAAATTGCTCATGAGGGTGAACCATAAATTAAAGAGCAGATTCCTACAAACGGGTGCTGGAACAATTTGTATCGGGGGGGAGGGAGCGGGGGCTGAGAGTCATGGAAGTAAACTGTGAACCCTGCATATGATGCAAAGCACTTCAAGCCAGCACCTCTGGTTCCAGTACCGACGCCTACAAGGCGGAGGAAGTTTGGATTCCTTCAGGTTGCTGCATTTGAAAGCTGTAGCCTGGAGAAGAGGCTTTACCCCAGGCTGTCACTGAGAGCAGAAGTGTGCACTGGGCGCATCGCACCCGCCGTAGCTATTCGTTTCTCCTTGTACACTGCCTATGAGAGATGACCTTGTAACAAAAAGCGCGGGCTGCAGCTGGGAGATATTTAATTGATTAAGGGTTTTTTGGACTTGTGATCTTATTAAAGAAGCATGTGGTTGAGTGGCCCCTTGAGTTTGTACCACCCTTGTCGGCAGATGAGCATTGTTAAAAGGTTGAGCCAGCCTAGAGCGGGCCCCTCTGTCCACTGCAGGGATCTCAAGGCTGTCATTGCCTACATGCAGAGTGCTTCTGGGCAAAGGGTTTCTCTGTCCCTGGAGGTGCAGCCTCCCACCCGCAGAAGTAAAGCCTAATTAAATGGTGAGTGCCGGTTCTTTGGTTCAGTCAATAAGGAAGATTTAAGACTTTCTGGAGCGGAGATGCTCTGTGTGTGTTTGGGCCCATCAGGCTTAGCTGGATTCACTCCAGCAATTCTTTGGTGGAACATTGTGAAGCAAATTAAACATTTCTCTGCATATAATTTTAGTCCTGAAATTGTTAAATGTCTAGACCTTGTGTACCCACAAATGGTAAAACAGAGGGGCCTACTGCACTAGGTGACTGAGCGTATGAGACTAGAGACACCTCAAAGGATTCTGATGTCCCGGCATGTTGAGCTGGATCCCTTTCCAGTCATTTTGGGTCCATTTCCCTGTAGCAGGTTTTAAAAGTGTTTGTTCCATGCAAGGGAACAAACAGCGTCAGCAAAGGAAAGTCTGGTACGTTCCTAAATCACGTCAGGGATCTGGGATGAGCACTGAAGACAGGAGTATTGCGAGTGGTCTTGGAGATCATTTTGGCAATTGCAAGAAGGAAGGAGAAGACTGATGCAGCCCAGTGCATCGAGAGGTGGGCTGAGGATTTACAGAGCCTGCCTGGATTAGACAGGAGGGGGATAGATCCTCTGAGGTCTGGAACTGGCAGACCTTTAAACTAGGGATGGAGGGGGAAACGAGAGCTTTCATGTCACTCCATCGGGGTGTGTGCTTCTCACATACAAAGGAAAGGCCAGATTGCCACATGGCTTTATGGACTTCACTCCCAGCTCCTAAGCACAAGGGCCTGTCCGAACGTTAGCACAGGGCTTCTCTTCCTAGGCGATTGCAGAGGCGCATGTCACCTCAATGGTGGGGTATGGCAAACAGCATAGGGCGAGTCGGTGTGGGTAGAGCCAGGGGGAAGGAAATAGAGAATCAGTGAAGGGGCCTAAGGAGGTTGAGGGGAGGGTGACATGGGCAGGGGACTGGGAGTGGAATATTAGTTGAACTGCTGAACCTTGGGTAGACTGAGGAGTGGGTAGATGGGGAGCTGGACAGGGGAAAGTTACTGTAATCCTAGCTAGAGCAAATCACGGTATGAAACAAAGTTTTCGCTTTGGGGGCAGAGCAAAAGGGGCAGATCTTAGAAATGATACTGAGAGCGAAGTCAGAGCCTGGGTGTGATTGGAGAAGGGAAAGGAATAGTCAGAACTAACCCTCTGGTGGGAGCAGGAGTATGGAGATATTGCATGCTTGCTCGTTTTGATCCAGTTCTGCAATCCGTGGAGGAAGGGACTGCATAGGCATAATGTATTAGGGTTCCAGGAAACCACTTAATACCGTGTCTTGCAAAATCTTACTTGGCTAAATAATTCAGCTTGGTTTGGGTGGGGACATTCCTGGACTGAAAACCTGCTACAAGGGTATCAGCAAAGGGTAATGATAAATAGCCATGACTCTAATTCTGGGGAGGTGTGGAGCAGAGGCCACAGAGGCTGGTGTTAGGATGCTTGAAAAATCCACTGATGATACTAAATTGGGAGGAGGTCCTGACACACATCAGTACAGAGACACAATCCAGAGGGACCTTGCAGGATAAGAACTATGGGCAGGAAACATGTAGATTCAGTTTGGAAGGATGTAGCGTATCTATCCAGGGTAAAATAACCTGAAGTGTGCACACCATATGGGAAGGAGCAGTCTGGGACAGGAACAGCGGCACGAGATGGAGGGTGAGAGCAGACAGCAAATTCCGAATGTGGCTGACACTAAATGCCTTCTGGGGGCTGCAAAGTAAGAGGCCTAGTGTCAGGGAGCAGGGAGATGTTAGTGCCTCTCCAGACAACATTGGGATCTCTCCCTGGAGAACTGTGTTCATTGCTGGGCCCTGCTTTACTAAATGATGCAGACTGGAAGGAATTCAGTGGCAAGCAATGTAAATAACCAGGGATCTTCAGCAACTGACTGATTTATGTGGAAACGTGTGTGGCTTGACTAAGGCCTAATAGGGCAATGTATGTACGCACACGTGTCGTTTTAACGTGTGAATAGTCCCATTGAGTCAATGAGCTTGAAGTGATACAGGTGCTTATGCAGTTTGCTGAATAGAGGCCTGTTGCAGGAAGCCACAAAACTACAAGTGTTTGAAGGTTTGACAATCAAAAAGGAATGGCTGACTGGAACATGTGGAGGTCTAAAGTACGAGGATGGAATTAGGGGCCAAGTAGGCTGGCTGTGCTGACTGGGAGGGGTATGAGGCTGAAAGGTTGAAAGCCCTGCCTCTTGGGGGACTTAGAACTGTCCAGGATGGAACGCTAGAAGCTGTGCTGAAGGGAACAGTCCTCACTTGCCAGGGTGCTGGATGTTAGGAATTTGCTTATGAATATCAAGATTTTACCAAGGCCAGACAGGTACAACAGGTGCACTGCATTGCAGTGGCTGGCATGAAGTCGATTGTCTCTGTCTGCTCCTGTTTGCATGTCAGTCCGTATCTTTGGTTGCTCTTGTAATGGTTACAGAATGTTCTTCAATTAACGTTTGCAATTCAAGTGTCACACAAATGGAGGATGGTTCCTTAGAGCCAGTGTTTTGTCTGCGTGCCTTGGGGAAGGGGGTTTTGTCTGCGTGCCTTGCGTCGTTTATGTGCTTTGTTTTTTTCTTTGCAGCAGGAGTCAAAGGAGGAGAATGGATTACAGAAGAAAAGAACCAAGCAGCAGCTGGACAGAGTGAAGTTTGCTGCTAAAAGAAAAATTGCACGTAGGTCTCACATGAGCTGGGTAGAGGGCAACTGAACCGTGGTCAGTATTTTTTGGGGGTGGGGTGGTGAGTTAAAGGATGTGTGGGATTTCAGGCTGACCCCCTGCACAATGATGAATGTCGCCCTTCCTGAATAGACTGTCACTTGTGCATTCCCCAGGATGAGAGTGACGCACTAGTGCACTTCCTAGGTGTGTGGCCGAGCAAGCGCATATCGCAGCCGGTATCTAGGTTAGGTGTGGAGCTGACATGGAAATAAATGTGTCCAGCGGCGCAGGGGTCAGGCTACGTCCCCACTAGAGCCGCTGGTTGGGATTCTGTCTTTGCAGCCTTGGGGCTCTGGAAGGCAGCCCTCCAAACAGCGTATCCAGTTCAAAACAACACAAGGAGTGAAATGTTTCAGTGCAACAACGGCAGCAGGTGCAGTGTGGAGTGCATCTCTGACGCTGCGGGGAGCGCTGCTTTCAGTGACCTGTGCTCTCTGTTTGCATGGTGCCATCGTCTGTCACTGCCTGGCGCTTTGCAGGGGTAGACGCCCTGGCACTTGCCCCAGGGCAGAAAACAAAGGAGATAACAGAATAGGGCGGTGGGGGGAGGGGAGAGGGAGGAGATTTTTTTGAAACGGCCGGCGTAGGAATTGCATTAAAATGTGGTTTCAGAGGAACAGCCGTGTTAGTCTGTATTCGCAAAAAGAAAAGGAGTACTTGTGGCACCTTAGAGACTAACCAATTTATTTGAGCATGAGCTTTCGTGAGCTACAGCTCACTTCATCAGATGTATACCGTGGAAACTGCAGCGGTATACATCTGATGAAGTGAGCTGTAGCTCACGAAAGCTCATGCTCAAATAAATTGGTTAGTCTCTAAGGTGCCACAAGTACTCCTTTTCTTTTTATTAAAATGTGGCTGACTCATAGACTGTGTCCCTCGTGCCTGTGGCTCAGGAAGCTGTGCTCCATGTGTAACAAGAAGGACTGACCCTTCTGGCTCTCCAGCTACTCTATAATGGGTCGGGACCTCTGCAGTTTTGCTGGATTTCTGTACACCGAGAATCTGGGCCAAATGGGGCAAATTCTGCTCCTTTGTCTGTGGAGGCAGAGGGTCAAGCCCTCTGCGTGAAGTAGCTGGAATGGGGAACCTGCACAAAGGCGGGAATGCTAACCCGCACTGTGAGTTCAGCTCCCTGGGGTCTTTGTGCCTTGCTGTCCCGCTGGATTTGGAGCTAGGAGTGGGGCAGGTTGAGCTGCCATTTGACATATCCATTGGCCATTCCTTAGCATAGGGGTGGCCCAGCTGGCACAGAGGTGTCTCCAGTCCCGAGTCTTGACTGGGATGACTCCTCTGCCACTCCACAGCTGGTGTGTGTGCAGGGGGATAGGTGTCCTGTCCATTCAGCTCCCCGCACACAGCCAGCTGCTCAGACAGAGGCCTGCTGCAGGACTTGGGGCATCACGCCTTGTGTGAGCAGTTCTGTCCTGACCTCGGGGGAGGAAGGTTTCCATGTGATTTGGATGCAGGTCTCGTATTCTCTAGGGGAAAGGGGTCAGCTAACAATAATTAATTAGGCGCTTTCACTTTCAGGGCTGCTTTTTTATTTATTATAAACTAGAATTAGGTTTTTGGTGTTTATTTTTAGGCAAATTAAGCTTTGAAGTAACAATCTTTTTTCTCTGTGTATTTAAACTTGTTCCTTGAATTGGTTCCGTAAAGGCACTCTGTTTACGGGCAGCGTGGGAGCTTCCTCCCCAATCCATTCCCCGTGCTGGGAAGTCTCCACTCTCTCCAGGCTCTGGTTTATAAAACGTAGCCTGCCGTTTTTGCTTTGTTGCCGTGTTCCTCATTTTAGCCTAAGCCATAAATATAGTAGATCTGTGATGTTTGATTCAGAGAGGATAAATGGGAAGAGCAAACCCCACAGAAATTGCCCTCTGTCTTTTCTGGCTGCAGTTGGTGCTTTAAAGCCATTGGAACATCTTTATTGTAATTGCACTCTGGATATGTAGAAATCCTGCAATCCTGCATTTCCATTTGTAAGCGTTAGAACTAGAATTAGTGGGGTTGGCATCTAATTTGCTTTGGAAATGTTAAAAGGAAACATAACTTGCATAGTAAATTGCCATATTAGCATTTTAAAAGACTCTGAAATGTTTTAATTTGTTCAGAGCTGTGATGTCTTAAAAACTGTCTGTCTGTCTGTCTGTCTCTCTCCCCTGCCACCATGTTTCTTGGTGGGGCTTGGTCCTAGTGGGTATGGGCTATTGGATTTCATGCCTTGTCATGATGAACATCTTCAGTGTCTCTTGGAGTGTGGTATGTAGGAAGCTCAGCTTTGGAATAATGGAGCTACTACTCCTTAAAAAATACAAAGCAGAGGCATTCTTGTGGGAAGATTCAGGGTGGGCGTGGGCATGGGCTCACATGTGCCCCTTACTTGCTGGATGGTGGTTTATTTCTCTGAGACCCTGAGAATCTGCTGTCTCATTTGGGACACCCTTGAGATGCATCTTGCCTCCTAAAGCACGGCATCTATTTTCGTGCCTCAGAGTTCTGAAATAGTCTGTTTGCACACATCAGTAGGAGGCTAACACAATACTTAGAATTTCTAATCACCATAAATTATGGCCAGTATAATCAACATCAAGCGCACACACTTTGTGAGTGTCTGCCTGCAGTGCTCTGATACGATCAGATGTACTATTCTGGGTCTTGCAGACTAGTCAGTGTACAGACAGCTCAGCTGAAACAGATCAGCCCCTTTGGATTTTATGTGATCTGAGCAGCTCCATCCACTCTCCCAGCAGTTGCGTATTTCCTGGTGGATCTAGGCCTGGGACTGCCCCACTCCTCAGAGCACCTACACATCTGGGAGGGAAACAAACACATTTCCCTTTTTTCTTGTTGGCTTGCCAGAGGCAGCACTCATCTACTTGTGTGAAACTGGCAACAAAGGTACGAGAGGAATTTACTGAGAAATTGGTTCATTCACTGAACTGTCTGTATGTCGATAGCCACGTTCTGCAAATACTTGTGCACCTGGGTAACTTTAAGCACATGGGGAGCCTCAGTGACTGCAGTGGGGGTTATTTATATGCATAAATGTACTTGCATGTGTAAATGTTTGCAGAGGTGGGTCATAGCCTTGCCTGCCTTACAGGGCTTGGGGTTTGAACAGGAAAGGTGCTGACTGAGTGCAGAGTATTGGTGTGTTTGGTGACAGGACCCTTCTCTGATATATGGAGAATTGTCCAGTGTTTACACCGACGAGAAAATTCTCTTTTCATGGTTCCTTCTAGCTGGAAAATTACAGCATGACTTTGTCCAAGGACAAAGATTCCCCTGGGTCCTGAGGGCACTGCAGTCTGCCTTCACTTCACCCTGTTGCTCTTTCTTTTTTCTTGATTAATTTGTAAAGAAAAATACAGAAACAAAGCAGTACACTGCACTGAGATGGCACACAAGTGAATGCAGCAGTTGTAGTCAGAATAGTTGAAAGAATGGTCCATCCTCACTTCAGTGGAGTAAATCACTTTATGTCAGCACAGAATGGGAGAACGTCACCAAAATGTGAGGTCCTGTGGCTGGCTGAATGCAGTTGTGCTGTAACGTGGTGTCATTACGAAAGCCAACACATTCCTCCGTTTTTTCTCAACTGAAACAGTGCTGCTGGATCCCACTTGCAGCTGGGGGGAAGCGGATGGTTTTGAAAGCAGAGGCCAGGAATCCCTGGGTGTGGCTTTACTGGGGGACATTTCTCCTGTAAAGTGGGCTGTGTTTGAGATGATATAGTTGTGGCTGAGGGGGCCCTTCTGTTCAAAACCCCAATGTTTAGTTGCTTCTCAGCTTTCCGAAAGTGCCCTTTTGGGCTAAGAGGGCTCAGGCTTTGTTTTACCCACAGGGGCAGGTGTGCACATGCCTGAGGGGTTGAAGGACATCTGCCGGTTGTGTTTGCATTCTGAATGTGACAATGTGTTTTTCAGCTCCTAAAAGAGCTGCTGAGTGGCTTTTCCACATTCTCCATTCTGCAGGTGTGGTGTATTTTAAGCATAGTGAAGTGTAGGGTCAAAATCTGAATGAATAGGTCTTCTCCCAAGTACCTGCTTTGGCTGAAAAAGGCAGCCTTGCTTCTCGGTCGCGGTGACTGAAGAATCCTTTTGGAAAGAAATGTGCAGCTGAACCAGCAGTTCTGAATGCGTCAGACCTGGCACAGTGATCCCTCAAAGCAGTGATGGGAGTGGGGCAAGGGGTCATTTGCACATGGCAGATCTTTCTGGACACTGTCCAGCAGATACAGCTTTCACCTGCTTCATGGGGTGAGCCCGGCTCAGCACCTTTGCCCTGATCTTCAGTAGGGCCTCCCAGGATATCACGCCACAGGGCAATGTGACGTGCTATGTGGCCAGTAATAAAGTATAATACAAAGGAACTGCTTCTCTGCCATGCCGCTCTGCCAGTGAGACTGAACCTTATAAATACATTCATTCGTGTAGAGCTCTGTGATCAAAGTCGCACTTCCCCCTGTGTCCTTAGGTGCACGTACAGTCCGCAGCAATGCCAAATGCTACCTCAGTTGCACGCTGAGGGGATGAAAAGTCCTTCTGTAGTGAATACACCAAAGGAGTCAGAGCTAAGATTGCTATGGAAACCTTAACTGAATTTCCAGACTTCGGGTCAGTGATTCAGCATTGCACAAGTGTATTCTTTTGCATTTAGTACTATCTGTGCCCGTATCAAAAGAACCTCTTAAGGAAAGCTGAGATTTAACAGCTTTGGTCTGGTGTAAGTTTTTGTCCTAGGAATGTGAGAGTCCCTGGATACCTTCCTCCAGGTGCCACATACGTGCTGGGTGTTCACATGGGCTAGTCTATGTCGGGACATCCAGGAATGTTAATCTGAATTAATTAAAGTGTATATTTGAAGTGGATTAGTTAAATCACATTAAATCCTTGTTTGAACCTCCCGTCTCACAATTGAAGTGGGTTAATTCAGATTAGTTTGTTTAACTTCTGAAGTGAATTAAGATACTGAATTAAGGCCACTTTAATTCTGAATTAACAGCATCCACACAGTGGTTAATGTGGGTTAACTAATCCACTTCAAATTCGCTCCTTTAGTTAATTTGGATCAATGTTCCTGAATGTCCTCATATTCACAGGCCTGTAGCTTTATACCACCAGGTGGTGTTATCCTGTCTCCTTTCTGTAGAGATGACTGAAGATGAGCAGTTTGAATTGGCTCTGAAAATGAGTGAGCAGGAAGCCAGACAAGTGAACTGCCGGGAAGAGGAAGAAGAGGAGCTTGTGAGGAAGGCCATCGCCGAGAGCCTTAATGTAGGTGTGCCTTTGTGCAGAGGCTTACAGAAATATTGCTTCACATATTTCCTTAGTTCTCCATGCAGAAAAGGAGTCTTTACGGGGGCTATTTCGTGTGGACTGACGGGAGGACTGTAGCAGTATGGGTGACTTGTAAGGCACGTGGGGACTAACCTCGGTTGTTCCTTGTGTTGTTGTGCAGTACCTGCGTGTGTCCTGCGCTCTGGGTGACGGCAGAGCACGCATGGCCAAGCATATCCTTGGCGTTTGTTTTTTGTACCAAAGAATTTATCTCTTGGAAAGCAAATCTTTTGTTTTTCAGAGCTACCAGCCTTTAGATTCCCCTGCTGAGACCTCTGCACCACCTCCTGCACAGACAACGTGCGTGCGAGCGCAGAGCCACCCGACTGAGCGAGGAAAGGCTGAGATCCATGGAGCTGTGCCACCTGGCCCTGACTCCCCACGGTCGGACTGCAGCTCCCACTCCCGGAGCACAAAAGCTGATGGGAATGGACAGGCAGATGTTGCCAAGAGCCCCCTCGTAGTGCTGACGAGGTTAAGCCAGGAAATAGTTGAAAGCTCACTACTATCCAGCATAATCGTACCTCCAGGGAAGAGCCAGCCTTTAACAAAGTCAAATGAAAAGCCTTCCTCACCAGCAAGAAGCAATTCCAGGGACACGTTACCCAGCCCTTCTGGGGAGAGGCTGATCTCCCTGAGTCCCACCTTTGCCCGGTTTACTCCGGGCACTTGGCAGCTGACACCTCGGAGATTGTTTTCAGGCTCGTGCAGCACTTCAAAAGCAATGGGAGGGGAACAAGACAAGCAGCCTCCTGCTGGTACTGGAAGTTCTGCAGGGGAGCCTACTGCTGGCAGCTCAGCAGTGCTCCGGAAGAGCCGGGCCCTGGAGCTGGGCAGCATTCCAAGGAAGAACTGTGGAGCAGGAGGCCCCGAGTGTGCACCACAACGTGGGCACAGCGGGCAAGGCTCTGTTTGTGCTGAGCACGTGGAACGTACGGCGGGACCCGACAAGGCACCTGAGCTTTGTACACTGAGCATGGCCGATGAAAAGTGCAAGCAGGAAGATGCTAGAGACACAGTGCACTATTATTGGGGTATTCCATTCTGCCCTAAAGGGGTGGACCCAAACCAGTATACCCAAGTCATCCTGTGCCAGCTGGAGGTGTATCAGAAGAGCCTGAAGCAGGCTCAGAGGCAGCTTTTGCAGAAGAAGGAGTTTGGTGATCCAGTTGTGCCCTGCTCTTCTCCCCTGAGCCAGAATGAGCATGGGAAAGGGGAGCGAATAAACAGGGAAAATGGTGTTCCTGACGACACAGAAGATGGCAGGAAGGAGCCAGAGAGTACTGCCTGGCTTCTCTCCACAAAGAACAGGGAGCTCGAGCAGAATCCAGGGCAGAACTTGGAAGAGGAAAAGAACTCTATGTCCGAGGATGAACCAACCACCAGCTATTGCCAGGTAACGGAGTCGGCTTGTACGTATTGTACGTATTCTACAAGCCGTGGGTGCTAATGCTCTTGACTTCTGCCTAGGGGCCAACCTGTGCAACACACCAGCCGCCAGCAAAGGTCAGTGCCTTTTGTTTCTATGTTTGTGCCCCTGTGGCTCCCTTCCCCAATCACCCAGCTCAGCCTCAGGAGAGGAGAGGGCCCCTTTGCTGCTGCAGGCAGCTCCCAGGCTATGCCGAGCACCACAGGGTACTCCCACATGTACAGCCCCATGCCTGGCAGAGCTCGAGAACAGCACCCGCTCTTTCAAGAGCTTCCTCCCTCGGGACACAGAGCTGCTGAGAGAGCAGAGCCTTAGAGGCTGGCAAAGCGCATGTGAGCGGGGCCCAGTGACCTGTGGCACCAAAGCTTAATAGCTGCACAAGCTTTCCCGGCAGAAGCCTGCCCTTTTCCTCTTGCAGTGACAGGCCGGTTTGTGGGTGGGGCGCTTATACAGTTGTACTTAACTTTTTCTCTTACGTCCTTTCTGCTGCAGACCAGAGTGAGCTGCTCCATAGTTATGTGCGCTTGTGGCACCTTAGAGACTAACCAATTTATCTGAGCAGAAGCTTTCGTGAGCTACAGCTCACTGCATCGGATGCCTTCACTGCATGCAACTGATGAAGTGAGCTGTAGCTCACGAAAGCTTCTGCTCAAATAAATTGGTTAGTCTCTAAGTGCCACAAGTCCTCCTGTTCTTTTTGCGGATACAGACTAACACGGCTGCTACCCTGAAACCTGTAGTTAGGTGTGTGAGTGCGGGTTGCCCAAGGGGTTTCTGTGATAGCAGGTGCTGTCCTGGATGGGGGAGTTTGCAGCGTTAGCCTGCCTGGCCTGAGTTGTTCTGCCTGATGCACACTAGGGGTCAGTGTTTGTCTCTGTTCAGGGCTCTGTTGGCTGTGCTGAAGACAGCTTTCCGTCACTGCTAAGTTTAAACAGATTGCACGTCAGATGAAGTATTTATTAGTGCTGTATGTTAGGGTTGTGTCAGCCTTTTCCAACCCTCATTTTTCATAATGACTTACTCCCAGATCGTTGTACAATTGTAGTTTCTCTGTGACGGAAGCCTCCACTCTGTTGTTCCTATTTCCAAGTGTATTTGTTCATTGACCCCAGTTGATAGAAAGATGCTTACCTTGTTCTGTGATATTTATATTCTGTCTGGTAACGCTGGACACTCTCAGGGAAAGCATCACGTCTGCATTTTGTAGAAAGTAGAAGTGCCGTGCAGTCCGTGCTCAGCCTTTCTTTCTTTCTTTCTTGGGCTTGGATTTGGAGGCTACATTTAAACAAGCCTTAAAGGTAACCTGCAGAGGGGAGACATTGGCCTTGTGCCCTTTTTTGGCTTCTTTATGTTGGATACAACAGACCCAAGAGATTTGTGTCACAAGCATTTTTTTCTCCTCATCTTTTCCATTAGAAATTCAGGTCTTGTTTAACTTGGAAGGCTCTGTGGTGACTGGAGAACTAATGAAATTATGGGATCAAAAGACACTGGAAACTGCAGCAGTTGAGAGAGGAAGCAGGGACTTTTAATCCGATTGTTTAAAACTTTGGGGGAGGGTTGTAACGATGCTGGTTCTGGTGGGACCCAACTGAGAGTGCCAATTCAGGACAGGACAAATGGCTTCAAGCAGGGCAGTTACAGCCCAAGGCTGGGGTTCCTTTGCACACCAAGGCAAACCCAACCAGACAGACAGAGAAGACTTTGGTTTTACCCCACTGGCTAACCATGAGTCACACAGCAATTCCCTTAGACACTCCAGTTTCCCAGGATCACCACCAGTGCCACTCGTTATGGGGGGGAAATGGTTATGAAAACCAAAACCGCAGTAAAAGAACAAAGGTTCCCTCGATCCCAAAGGACCAAGCCCCAGACCCAGGTCAATGTACAAATCAGATCTTACCCACCAATCACGCTGTTGCCAATCCTTTAGAATCTAAAATCTAAAGGTTTATTCGTAAAAGGAAAAAGATAGAGATGAGAGCAAGAATTGGTTAAATGGAATCAATGACATACAGGGATGGCAAAGTTCTTAGTTCAGGCTTGTAGCAGTGATAGAATAAACTGCAGGTTCAAATCCAGTCTCTGGAGAACATCCCCAGCTGGGATGGGTCATTCAGTCCTTTGTTTAGAGCTTCTGTTTGTAGCCAAGTCCCTCCAGAGGCAAGAAGCAGGACTGAAGACAAGATGGAGGAGCTGCAGCAGCTTTGTATAGTCTCTTGCCATGTGGCCTGTCTTTCTTTATTCCAAAGACAAGAATTCTATCACTTGGCCTGGAAAAACCTCAGAGTCTTGTCCATAGGCAGGTCCCTGCATACTTGCTGAGTCCCAAGGCGTGTCTGCCTTCTCTCAGTGGGTCAGTTGTGTAGCTGATGGTCCTTAATGGGCCACCAAGCATGCTAGGCAGAGCTGACACTAACTTGTCTGGGCTGTCACCCAGAAGCACAGCGTAAGTTTAAAATACAGACAGGATAGAGCCAATACTTATAACTTCAAATACAAAAATGATACATGCACACAGACAGCATCATCATAACCAGCAAACCATAACCTTGTCTTAGACACCTTATTTGACCCCCTTTATACAAGATTTGGTGCCACTACAGGACCTTGGTTGCACCAATGATCTATATGGTCCCAGCTTATGTCAGTAACATCACAGGGGTTGTTAATACATATTTAACCCTAGTGCCTAATGAACTCTTGGAAGACAAGATGTCTTAGAGATGCAAGCCAGGAGCTCACAGTGCATGTCTTCTGAACCACCAAGGGCCTCCTGCAGAGCCAGGGAAGAGCAGATTTGACCTTGCTGATATTTCTAAGGGGGCAAAGCCTGAAAACTTTTCTATGAAACCCAGAGCACAAAACCCTGCAGGTCTTTATCTGCCACAAAGACGCCAAAGGAAAAAAAAGCACGTGCAGTTCATTTTACACTGTGCTTTCTGGTCCCCTTTCCCTATGCTAACCGAAGAGTCGATCTCCCCTCCCATTCACCTCCTGTTGCGTAGCAGCACCTCGAGCCACTGTCGGTGATCTGCTGCCAGGTTCAGTAGATTTACGGCTCACCTGAGCCTTCTCTACACCAGTTTTCCTGTCAAATTTCCCACTGCTGCTGCCACAGATTTTACTTCACTGCCGGTGATGGTGATGGGAACCCCAGGCCAGTGGAGTTCTTAACCTGGTTAGAGTCGGCTGCTGGTGCCTTCCCACGGTAGTAACCGGGGTGGAGCTGACAGCAGTGGTGGGAAATTCTAGGCCAAAACTCCTGGTGTCATCACAGCCCGGAGGGGCGGTGTGTATGTGACAGATGTCCCGATATTAGGGGCTTTGTCTTATATAGGTAACAATCCCTCCCTCCCCCTGAAAAAAAAGTGGCCTGATTTTTCACACTTGCTGTGTGGTCACCCCACCTGGAGGTTCTCCACCCCCAGGTCAGGCTGCTCATTGTGGTCGGTTTGTGTCATGGGGGGAGCTGCTGGGTCGTCCCACCACACCCACTTGGAGTGTAACTGCTTTTCTGCCAGTTCCTCCGTGATCAACCCCTCTCCCCGGTGCTGTGCCAATGAACAGAGTGAGAGTAACAGTGTATGGTAGCCCTTCTGTACACTGCCCTGTGACCCAAACCAGGTGAGAGACCTCCCATGTTGGTTCATTTCATTACAGTTCCCTTGATTGTCCACTAATTGCCAGTGAGCCCCGTTACATTTGACTAATCAGTGTTGTCATAAAAACTCACCATTTTCAGGCTCTTGTGAACAAATTTCAGAGTGAATTGAATAGATTCCATCCTATTTTTCAAAGTCTTTCACACAGGCAGGCAGATTTCTGGTCTCTGAAAGGTTTACACAGAGAGCTCCCTCTGTAAGTGAACGGTGGGAAGGTAGCTTGAAAAATCTCAGCCAGCTCTGGAGAATGAGGAACTGGCTGCTGCTGGCCTGTGTTTTATTTGGGATCCACATTATTTCCTTTCCAGGCCTCCCAGGCGCTATTTGCAGAGGACATGCCTGAAGATGGGGAACCAATGCAGATTACACAGAGGTGAGGAGGAGGGGTCATTTCAGAGCACTGGTTCCTGGACACACAGCCCTCCCCCCGGCCTGGTGTCCCGGACAGGAGAGTGCTCAGGGCGTGCTGCAGCTAGCTGCATGGCTGCTGTGAGGTGTCGCTGTGGTGTTCAGCTCAGGGACAATGGGGGGAGAACGCTCACCCCGACATGTGCGAGGGGCACTGCACTGCAGCTGAGAGGACGTGATCCGTGCCTTGCGGAGCAGCAGTCTGATCTGACAGGTGTAACCGCAATAGGACGGGGCTGGGGCGGGAAGGGTAAGACCTGGTGGTAGGATCGCATGGTCTCTCCAGGAAGGCAAGTTTTCAGCAGGTCTGTTGAAAGGAGAGGCCTTTGAAGAGGCAAGAACAGGGGGAAAGCAAAGAAAATGTGTCATGCCAGAGACAGTGCCCCTGTGTGCCCCAGATGGAAACAGCCAGTCTGGTCCTCAGCCGGTGGCAGGAATGGGCCATGGCAGCACAATTCTCCTCTGATTTTACCTCTGCCCCTTTGTCTGGTAAAACCAGGTTCTGAATGGGACCCTAGGAGAGTTGGCTTCTGGCTGCCATCTCTCACTGCAGGGCTAGGAGACATTGACTGGGGTGGTTTGCAATTGTTCTTTCAGACTAGATAAGCTCTGAGTGGCAGGCATATGGGGAGCACTTGGGGAGCAATTTACTAGGGAGGTTTCAATATTTGCAGGTGTTGCAAGCCCAGCTGTGGGAAACTGCTTGATTCTCATGGTACTTTAAACTACTTTTATAGTTCAAAATGCTTTTGGCATAAAGCTGCTGCCTTTTCCCTGCCTGCTCTCCACTCTCTTCTCCCCCTCACTGATATGGCAGTATTCGGGCTGAACACCTGAGATTAGGGACAGGGCTTGAAATGCCAGCTGATTGCTTACCTCAGGCCAGTGGGAAGCTCGCCCTGCGGAGCAAGGGGACCTATGCTGCCTGGCTTTGGCAGAACTTTAGCAGTCTTTAAAAAACTCAGAAAGTGTCTAGCCCTGTGGCAGTGAAGAAACTCTTCAGGTGTGAACTGATGCAATGCTGGCCTCTGTTGCCAGGCTCAGCTTTCCCAGGCAGCAGAGACCGTGAAATAAACCAGACTCTGGTAAGTTTCATGGCTGCTGAAATGTGCAGGGGGAGTATGCCCTGTTAGGCTACTACCAGTCCTGTCAGTTTCGATCTGTTGCTGCTTGATGCTGACAATGGTCCCTTGAAAGAGGCTGAGCCTTCTCTCCCTTCGGAGCAGCAGGAGGCCCTGTGGTTGGGACATGAAGGAAGAGGCAGCTCCTATCCCCCAGTTGTGAAGGGGGACAGGAGGGTGTAATGTTTCAGGTACCCAGTAGCCAGAGCCTGTTTCAGAAGGTGGGGCTCCCTAGCAGGGTCCAGGGCAGCACCCTGGTAAGAGCAGCTGGGCTGGATGCTGGCTTCCCAACATCAGGGGTTCCAGAGGGCTCGTGCGTCACCCTTTGTGTCCAGGTAGCAGGTTTAATCCTCTGTTCAATCTGACCCAGGGGCAGCTGACGTGCCAAAATGTGGCCCTGTGAGTGCTACAGTGCAGCCAATGGCTGCCCTCTTTGGGATCAAGCTTCACCATTGCCTGCTGTGACTTCTCATTTCAGCAGACAGCCCCGGTGTGTGCAGATAACGGTGGCGAGCTCTCTGGCTGCTGGCAATGTGCCAGCGCAGCCCTCCATTGGACAATGTCTGGGCATGCTGGTCAGCCAGCTGCTGGGGCAGCTACAGGAGAAACCCTGCTCAGATGTGGGGCGCTCGTAGAAGCAGCAGTAGCAGAAGTCACACAGCAGTTTGTGCCCCCATGCTTGGTGCAGAGTGCAGCAGATCAGAATGTGAAGAAATGGTTCTGTGCTTTGGTACTGAGGGACAGGTGATGTAGCCAGCACTGTGGTTTGACTGTAAATTGATTAGCCCATTTTATAACTGTCACAGTAAGTTGTTTTGTGAGAGTCTTTTGGAAGTGACCCCGGTGTTACACACTCAGTAAAACATGCTCAGCTTGGACTCATACACATGCTTTGAGATGGGTTCTTTAGAAAGAGAAATCACTTGCGGTTTCCTCTCAGAATTAGATTATTTGTCATAAATAGATGGTGTCTGTTTCCTCCTCTCTAGCTAGGCGTGTGGTTAAATTAAATAAATCTTGGATCTGCTGGGGTAGGGATTCATGCTTTTAAAGTGTGTTCTTGCATACTCGCTCAGATTAATCAGAAAGCCACACCGAGGGCTGAGGTGATCAGCATGAGGAACACACTTACTCAGCAACAGCTTCTTGTTTCATAAAGAGATTGCACTCCAGTGAGAAAATGGAGGAACTGGAAGGTCAAACAGAGGAGCCAGACATGGTTAAACACTACACAAAAGTGCCACTAAGCTAGCGTTGGCAGGACTTTGCTGTAGGGAAGCTTTGAGTAGTATCACATTCCCGCTGGGTTAGAAAGCCGCATACAGGGATAGAAAGAAGAATTTGTGGTAAGGATGAGGAGAAAGAGGAGTACAGTGTCAAACAAACCTCCTCCTCTTTTGTCTCCAACGAGTTCCTTGATATAGGTAAGGAAACACTGCTACCCACAGAACTCCTAGAACTGAGAACAGAAAGGATCAAAGGCATCTTTTAGTTCTGAGCCGATATTTTTACTCCTCTTGCATGACACAATGACCTTCCAGATCTTTTTATCATGGGCTTCTAGGAGCGGGAAGTTCCTTTCAGCTATGTGGCGTTGCATGGCATTTTAAACCTGTATGTTTGTTAGTTCTCCGGGTCCTTTCTGGCGGTCAGACAGTAATTAGCTGAAGATCCTTGAGTGTGTGTCTGACCCAGCGGCATGCTGTCACACTGATTGATTTGATGTGACGTGTATGTGTTTGCTTTGATAGCATTTCTGCCTTGACCCCATTTGGCAGTAAGAGGAGCCCAGAGGTGGCCGTGGAGAGCCCTGCTGCTGAAGAAGAGATCCCTGTTTGCCCTGGTAAGAGCCGTATTGAAATGTGCTGAACTGGGCTCTGGAAAGGACACGCCATCCGTGCTCTAAATCCCGCCCCGCCCTCCCCTCCAAAAAAAGGGAGTCCAGCATTTTTCTCTCTGGTTTTATTCCTTGAGAGGCCCAAGAGTTCTCCTCCCGCTGTGTCTTCACAGCGCTGAAATTCATGTGGCTGGTTGGTTTCCTTCCTTGGTTGTGCAAACTGCGTTTGCCTCTTGATTTAAAGCAGAGAAACTTTCCAATCTATAAAAAGAAAAGGAGTACTTGTGGCACCTTAGAGACTAACCCTTATGCTCAAATAAATTGGTTAGTCTCTAAGGTGCCACAAGTACTCCTTTTCTTTTTGCGGATACAGACTAACACAGCTGTTACTCTGAAACCTTTCCAATCTATCTGTCTGAACCCTAGGGTGAACTAGCTGAAGCAATCTCAGAACTGCTAACGAATATCTTTAACAGCTCATGGAGGAGGGGTGAGGTCCCAGAGGACCGGAGAAGGTCAGACGGGGGAAGGGGAACAAAGGGGACCCAGGGAATTACAGACCAGTCAGCCCAACTTCAATACCTGGAAAGATACTGGAACAAACTATGACACAATCCATTTGTGAGCACCTAGAGGATAACAGGTTATAAGGAACAGCCAGTGTGGATTTGTCAAGAACAAAATCATGCCAAACCAATCTAATTTCCTCCTTTGACAGGGTAATTGGCCTAGCAGATATGGGGAAGCAATAGATGGGATATATCTTGATTTTTAGTAAGGCTTTTGAACATAGTCCCACGTGATATTCTCATAAGAAAACTGGGGAAATGTGGGCTAGATGAAATTGCTGTAAGATGCGTGCAAAACTGGTTGAAAGACTGTATGCAGAGTAGTTATTAATGGTTTCCTGTCAAACTGGGAGGTGCATCTAGTGGGAATCCTAGGATTATAACAGGGTTTTAAAAGAGAACTGGATAAATTCATGGAGGTTAAGTCCATTAATGGCTATGAGCCAGGATGGGTAAGGAATGGTGTCCCTAGCCTCTGTTTTTCAGGGGGTGGAGATGGATGGCAGGAGAGAGAGGCCTGTCCTGGGTCCTGTACTATTCACTATTTTCATTAATTACTTGGACAGTGGAGTGGAGATTATGTTTGTAAACTTTGCAGCTGACACCAAGCTGGGAGGGGTTACGAGCACTTTGGAGGACAGGATTAGAATTCAAAACAACTTTGACAAATTGGAAAATTGGTCTGAAATCAACAAGATGAAAATTCAGTAAAGACAAGTGCAGAGTACTTGGCTTAGGATGGAAAAATCAAATGCCAAGCTACACAGTACAGAATAAGTGGGCAGGTGGCAGTACTGGTGAAGAGGATCTGGGGTACAGTTGGTCACAAACTGAGTGAGAATCAGCAATGTGATTGTGACAAAGTAGGAGGTGTGTTTTTTAATGTTTTGCATGAATACTGTGTGTGCCTCCATTTCCCCTGTGTATTAAACAAATACCTAGGTGGTGGGACAAGGGTGTGTGATTTTTACTGAGACCCGAATGGGCAGGTGGGGCTGCCTCTAGCTGCCTGAACGCAGATAATGACTAAAACACTCTGAACCTGGCAACTGATGGCCGGGGGCCCTCTCCCTAGGAGCCCACCAGCTGCAACAAGTTGGAACCAGGCAAGAGGTGGCAACGAGGTGACCCTTTTGCCCAGAAACAAGACAAAGGATGGAGGAGGGGCAGTGGGTGTGTCTGAGGCTGGGCCCCTGGAAGCGAGACAGTCTCCTGGTTTGGGACTCGGGGAGGGCCAGGACCCCAAGGTCTGGATTCCTCCCCCCAGATGGACTTTGCTGAAAGTTCCTGATTTCTGTGCTAACAAGCTCTGTTCTACGCTGTGTTCCTGTTGACTAATAAATCTTCTGTGTCACACACTGGCTGAGACTCGCTGCTAACTATGGAGTGGGGGCAGGGCCGCTTTGGAGCAGTGTGAGGCTCCCCCAGGGGTCCCGTCCAGGGGGATTCGCTGCAGGGAGCTCACGGGGTAAACAGGGGGCTGGATGCTCCAAGGTCAGACCCAGGAAGCACTGAAGCTGAGCAGGCTCCTTGCCCTTGTGAGAGTGGCCCTGCGGGGCAGAGACTGTGCTAGAGGAAGGATGCCAACTTTCTAATCACACAAAACCGAACACCCCTGCCCTGCCCCATCTCTGAGGCCCCACCCCCACTCACTCCATCCCCCCTCCCTCTGTCACTGGCTCTCCCCCACTCTCACTCACTTGCTCATTTTCACCAGACTGGGGCAGGGTTTTGGGTTGCAGGAGGGGGTGAGGGCTTCAGGGTGGGGCCAGAAATGAGGCTTTCAGGGTGCGGGAAGGGGCTCCAGGCCGGGACAGGGGGTTGGGGTGCAGGAGGGAGTAAGGGCTCTGGCTGGGGGTGCAGGTTCTGGGGTGGGGCCAGAAATGAGGGTTTCAGGGTGCGGGAGGGGGCTCTGGGCTGGGACAGGGGGTTAGGGTGCAGGGGGGTTGGGTGGGGCTAGGGATGAGGGCTTGGGGTGCAGAAGGGGGCTCCAGGCTGGGGGGTGGAGCCGAGGGGTTCAGAGTGTGGGAGGGGCTCCGGGCTGAGGCAGGGGGTTGGGGTGCAGGAGGGGTGTGGGCTCCAGTAGGGAGTTTGGGTGTGGGAGGGAGCTCAGGGCTGGAGCAGGGGTGCGGGAGAGGATGTGGGCTCTAGAGTGGGACCAGGGATGAGGAGTTTGGGGTTCAAGCGGGGGCTTGGGCCTGGGGCAAGGAGTTGGGGTACAGTAGGGGGTGTGGGCTCCGAGAGGGAGTTTTGGTGTGGGAGGGGGCTCCAGGCTGGGGCAGGGGATTGGGGTGCGGGAGGGGGTGCGGACTCTGCCTGGGGATGCAGGCTCTGATATGGGACCAGGGATGAGGGGCTTAGGGTTCAGGAGGGGGCTCGGGCAGGGGGTTGGCATGCAGGAGGGGGCATGGGCTCCAGGTGGTGCTTACCTCAGGGGGCTTCTTGGAGGCGGCGACATGTCTCTCCAGCTCTTAGGCGGGGGCACAGCCTGGCGGCTCTCCGCAGTGCGCCCTCACTGCCTCCACCTGCAGGTGCCACCCCCGCAGCTCCCATTGGCTGCAGTTCCTTGTCAGTGGGAGCTGCGGAGCTGGTGCTTGGAGCTCCTGGGCCGTCCCTCCACCTAGGAGCCGAGGGACATGTCTCTGCTTCCGGGGAGCCACGCAGAGCCAGGTAGGGAGCCAACCAGACTTTTACCGGCCCTGTCACCGGTGCGAACCAGAGCTGCCAGGGTCCCTTTTCAACAGGGCGTCAGGTCGAAAACCGGACATCTGGCAACCCTATGCTAGAGTCTTGCCTGACGTCACTCAGAGCAGTTCCAGAGCACTGAGCGTGTGACTCCATGACAGTGACTGCGGTTGTGAAACACACGAATATCATTCTGAGGTGTGGTATGTCAGACATGGGAGGTAACCGTCCCCCTCCACTCAGCACTGGGGATGCCCCAGCTGAGGTGCTGGATCCACCCTTCATGACAGATGTGGATCAACTGGAGAGAGTCCAGTGGAGAGCAACAAAAGCGATAAAAAGTTTTAAAACCCTGGCCTATGAGGAAAGGTTAAAAAAAGTGGCCAAGTTTAGTCCTGGAAAATAAGAGGGGACCTGATAAGTCTTCAAATAGATTAAGGGCTCGTATAAAGGGCACTGGTGAGTTGTTCTCCATGTCACTGAAGGCAGGACAAGAAGCAATGGGCTTCGTCTGCAGCCAGGGAAATTGAGGTTAGATATTAGGAAAATCTTTCTAACTCTCAGGGTGGTTCATCTCTGGAACAGGCTCCCATGGGAGGCTGTGGAATCTCCGTCCTTGGAGGTTTTTCAGAACCAGTTGGACAAATCTCTGTCAGGGCTGGTCTAGGGTTACTTGGTCCTGCCTCAGTGCAGAGGGCGGGTTAGGTGACGTCTGGAGCTCCCTCCCAGCCCTGCATCTCTATGGCTATGTCTACACTACCGCGGTAAGTTGACCTACACTACGCAGCTCCAGTTCGTCAATAACGTAGCTGGAGTCAACGCGCCTTAGGTTGAGTTACTGCGGGGTCGACTTACCTTACTCTTCTCGTCGGGGGTAGAGTACAGAGGTCGACTGGAGAGCGATTTGCTGTCGATATGGCGGATCTTCACTAGACCCGCTAAATCGACCGCCAGTGGATCGAGGTAAAAGGAATTTTCATCTCACGTTTCATTAGCAAACTTGATTGGAACCGAATCGTTTGCTTTCTCCAGGACTGTCTCTCCTCGTTGGTCCTGCCACTGATGTCCTGATTCTGGCTTTTCACTCTGAAATCTGTGGTAGGAGCAGTTCTCATTCCCTGGGGAGGTCGAGAGGTTCCTTGCAGCTGGCTGGATGTGACTTTTGGTGATATTGAAACCATGGGATGGCAGATGAGACTGAGGAGAGGAGGGAATTCTGGGACTCTCTCTGCTGGGTTGGAGAACTCCATTCTCGCACTGCACAGTTCACCAGCAGACGCCCTGCACGTGCTCTGTGCGTCCCGTGAAGCTGTAAAGCTGCGGCAGCTTTGGCCTTCCACCCTGTGCTTTGACTTGTAACCTCTCATCCAGCTGTGGTGTTACACATCTGCCAGCATCTGTGAGACATGGTTGGAAACGGTGAAAACCCTGTCAAGAGAATGGGCTAAGCTCCCAGAGATAGCAAAGGCTCTAGGGGCTGCAGCCTGCGCTGACATGGCAGACTTCTGTTTCAGAGACCCAGCCAAATCCATCGGAAGCCATTGAGCCGGAGAGAGAAGAGCTCCATTCAGCCAGCAAAGACGCACCTATGCAGGTAAGAGAGTCCCCGAAGGGGAAAAGCCAGAGACGTGTCCCCGCTCCAGACCACGTTTACGCTAGTGGGAGCTATAGCAATGCAGCTCCGGGGCCGTGGCTAGGCCACTGTAAGCCCCTAGCGCACATGCAGACGGCAGAGACAGAGGGTTTTCTCCACCTCCGTGAGCAACACTAGCTAAGTCCATGGAAGCTTTCTTCCATCCACCGAGCTGTGTCTAGACCAAAGGTTAGGTCGGCATAGTTACAACACTCGGGGGGTGGGGTGGGGTGGCACCTTTCACCCCCTTGAGCGCCGTCCTATGTTGACTTCAGTTTAAGTGTAGACCAGGCTCCAGGCCTCTATCAAACTGGAAATCCTCATGCTCCACCAGAAAACTCTAGTGGGTTCCCCAAGAGCAGAGGAGGGTGTACATCTCTGACACTAGGGCCCTAACACCCCGCCCTGATTCCCCAATCCCAGCCTCTGGTCCCATGCCTTTGGAGCACCAGGATCAGTTGAAGTGGTTGCTGCTAATCCCCATTGTTGGGCTGCAGGATGTCAACCAGCTGTTGGGCAGAGCCAATTGCTAGCCCTGAGGGAAGAGGCCAAGGGGTATCAGTGCTGCAGGAAAAGTCCTGCTGGCTATCTGTGACTCCCTGCTATGACCGAACTTGCACTTTGGTAATCTCAGGGGTGCTGTGCACGGGACACCAGAGCTCATGGAGCCTTTGGCAGAGTCAGGGGATCATGGCGAGGACGCTGGGCTCGTCCCTTACAACGTTTAGATGGTGCCCAGGGAGTCTCCTGCTTCTGTGTCGACAGCTAGTGGCTCAGATGTCAGTGACAGAGCACCGAGTGCTAGAGCGGGGTCCTCCCTGGGCATGGGCACTGCTCTGCCATAGGCCCACACCAGGGGAGGCTTTGAGCTTTCCGCCTTCTAGGCCAGAGGCAGAAATGCCTGTCGCTTGGCTCAGGGGTTAGCATATGAGCTGTGGAACAGCCAGACCCTACTCCCAGCTGGTGTCCTGGCCTGGGCCTGCCCTGGAACTTGAGACCTCCATGTGGGGCTGCTTGGCGCTGGGCGCTCTCCTACCCGAGAGCAGGCCAGGCCTGGCTCAGCCGGCGTGCAGTTACGGGTTCCAAAAGCCATTCTCGTAAGGTGCGGCACAAGCTGTTTCGGGAGCCGGCTGACAGGTTTTGTTATACGCTGTTGTATTTACATTTAAAATGAGTTATTTACAGCGAGAGTGTAAGTGGTGTGTTTGGACACCTGGTATTTGCAAAAGATGTGATCTTTACGATTGCTTTTCAAGTGGAAATGAGAAGGAGCAGTGCCTGCTGCTGTCTCCTCACATCTGCATGTGTTGTCTGATTAGGGTAACACCGATCTGATCGGAGTGTTCATATTTGGCATGTCTGATTTTGTATTGGCATGTCCTCATGACACACTAAAGTGTAACGGAGCTTAACAGGATGCAGGGAGCCATAGAATGGAAAATGGCGTGGAAGTGGTGGTGCAGTAACTGTGAAGTTGCTGAACTTCCCACAGTAGAACTGAGACACGCTCACTCCAGCTCTCCCGCTTGGGAGTCAGGTTCCTTGGAAAGATGCTTTGTGTGGAGTTTGCCTGCAAGGGTTGACTGCCCTAGCGTTCTCTGCTGAGAGCCTGTCAGCCAGCAATCCCAGGGTGTTTCCTGAGGTGCCTTGTGAGATACAACCCAGTCCTGCAGACTTGCACGCACACGGCGGCTCCGCTGATGTGGGTGGGCTCGTGCGGTAAGCACAGGAAGGGAGTCCAGGATGGGGCTCGCTCCTGGCAGTGCAGATTCTTACTCAGCGACAGACTGAGTCATAAGACAGAACGCGCAGCAGGGGTTGAGCAGCCAGCCTGACCCTAATTACGGTTTTCCTGGAATTGTGTCCTTAGAAGGAAGTAACATCGGTTCCTCAGCTGTCTGTGTGGGTCACTGGCTGGCTTGCTAGAGCCACTTCTGTTCCTGCAAGTTCCTTCTAGCTAGTTAATATTTACACACACTGGTCCTGGCTGGGGAAAACAGGTTCTGTCCTTTTCTCAAAGGTTCAGGAGGCCGCCTGTGGGTAGAGCTTTTGTAGGCAGCACGGGCGCCTCTGCCAAGCTCTGCTCGGTTACGGCTCGGTGTGCATTCCCGACAGTTGCTAGCACTGAGCTGAGAGGCTGGGGAAGGTGAGGCCAGACGCGCAGACGGCCTGATGGTTTTAGATCACACAGTACCAGAGAAAAGCCACAATTGGTAACTTCTAGTAACAGATTGTCAATCATATCGCCTTTATCTTTCCCCCTTTGCCTCTGTCCCTGCCCCCCATGACCCGGACTGGAGGAACCTGGCCATTGCTCTGAGCTCACCCACTAAGAGGGTGGGAGCCCCCCTTCATCAGTGTCCCAGACATGCGGCTTGTGCTGTGCTGGGCCATGGCTGGGGACTGATGAGTCCATGTTTCGTGGTGAACTCTTGCTTTGCTACGTGAGTGTTTCATGCGTCTCGCTGGGTTTGCTTCCGGCACTCTCGGGGTCTCGGGCAGGGAGGCTTTACATGTTACCCAGCGATGCGTGGCAGCAGCACCGGTGATCCTTGCCCTAAATGGACTGGCCGGCGATCCGGGGACGCCTCGTGGTGACTCGGCAGGACGTGCTGCCTTTGGAACAAGTGTTTGATAGCTGTGCTGTGGTGTTGGCTCAGGCAGGGCGCTAGTCAGTGCAGTTACTAGATCTGACTTGGGGGGGGTCGTGGGATGAATATGCCCGAGAAATGCAGTGGCTGTGGGAGGGTAAGTAGCGGCAAGACAGCAAGGCGCTTTCGGGTAGGCGTGAAGAATGGAACAGCAAGAGCTGTTTGGCTGATTTCTTGTCCCCTTCCTCAGGCTGCTGGAGATGAAGAAGCTGGGAACACGGCATCTGAATGCAGCCCGTCCGCTGATGACAGTGTGTCATGCCCGCTGTGTGATCGAGGCTTTCCAGCCACTGAGATTGAGCTGCACGCCATGTACTGTAACGGCATCGTGGCGCAGGATGCAAATGAAGATGTTCCAGGTCTGCTAAGCACTTGGTCTCATACCTTGGTCCTGTGAGTGTGTGCGAGTTCCCTCTCCTGCCCCAGCAGCCATGTGTGCTGAGAGTCTCAGCAAGCCTCAGACTCTTGGGTACAGAGAGTGTAGCAATCACAAACGCTTCTCCAACTCTCTTGCTGAGGCCCACTGAGAGGTGTGTGAGAGAGGCCTCCTCCCCTCTGCCTGGTCCCGCCTGCCCCGGAGGGCACTCTGAACCCTGGTGGCTTTGCAGCACTCATTGCACTGCCAAGTCTTAGAATTTCCTTGTAGTCAGTATGTTACTTAGCAGTCCACTGTGAACATGGCTCCAGGGGCCAGCCCTGGCTGTCTCCTGCAATCCCACAGTGCAGGACCCCTCTAGGACCATACCATGCACCTCAGCTAGGAAAATCCCAGGCCCACGGAGCAGGGAGAAGGAGGGAGCCAGGATTGTGTGTGTGCGGCACAGCACGGAGCACACAGCCTGCACTGAGCACATGACAAGTCCAACACGTAGTGAGCTGCTGAGCCAAGTGCTGTGCAGAAAGGATTGACTCAGCGAGAGGGACTATTCATAGATCCCAAGGCCAGGCAAGACCATTGTCATCATCTAGTCTGACCTCCTGCGTAACACAGGCTAGAGACCTGCCCAACAATAATCCCTAGGGCAGAGCTGTTAGACAAACAGTCCGTCTGGAGTTAAGAATTGCCAGGGATGGAGAATCCACCACCACCCTGGTAAGTTGTTCCAGTGGTTAGTTTCCCTCACTATCAAATTTTTTTGTCTTATTTCCAGTCTGAATTCATCTGGCTTCAGCTTCCAGCCACTGGGTCGGGTCAGACCTTTCTTTGTGGGATGGAAGGGCCCATTAGAAGTTTTTAAGGTCAGGCTTGACAAAGCCCTGGCTGGGATGATTTAATTGGGGATTGGTCCTGCTTTGAGCAGGGGGTTGGACTAGATGACCTCCTGAGGTCCCTTCCAACCCTGATATTCTATGATTCTATGATTATTAAGTATTTGTTCCCCATGTAGCTATGGATAGATCACTGGGATCAACTCACCCCGCAACTTTCTCTCTAAGTTAAATAGATGGAGCTCCTCAAGGTTGTCACTATCAGGCAGGTTTTCTAATCCTTCTGTCATTTTTGTGGCTCTTCTCTGACCTCTCCCCACTTTTCCAATATCCTTCTTGAACTGTGGGCACCAGAACTGGGCACTGGATTCCAGAAGCGGGTGCGTCAGTGCTGAATACAGAGGGAAAATCACCTCTCTGCGCCTACTTGCGATCCCAACATCGCATTAGGTCTTTTGGCTACCGTGTCACACTGGGAGCTCATGCCCGTCTGATTAGCCACCATGACTCCCAATTCTTTGCCAGAGTCGCTGCTTCCCAGTGTAGACATTCGGGCTCAGGCTAGAGCCCAGGCTCTGAGACCCTGAACATCTGTCCGTCCATTTTTAGCCCTGCAGCCCAAGCCCTGTGAGCTCCAGTCAGCTGACTTGGGTCAGCTGTGGCTGGGACGCAGGGCTTTTACTCCAGTGTAGACTCACCCTTAGTGTAAGCCTAACCCGCCGTCCATCTCCACACAAGTCGCACTAGCCCAGGGTTCAGACCCAGGGTCCCAGAAACCCATGGGTGTGGAGGGTCCAAGCCTGAATCAAGCTGGGACCTGCGTTCAAGCCCTATTGCTTTGCGGTGGAGATGCAGCCACACTGGCCTTGTGCCCTGTGAGTTGGCCAAAAGTATCCCACAATCCCACAGGCTAACTTCTTTTGTCTTGTGGACAGTCAGGCTAGGTGGACTGTCACGTTCTCCCACATTGCACCTCAAACTAAGGGCTAGAGTGGCCACGTTTTGGAAGGGCGCAAGGAAGTCTGGTGGTTGGACTTGGGCTCACATCATGCAATGTAGATGCTGGAGTCCCAGGTTGGGACCCAGGGTTCAACAATTCCTGACCTGAGGTTACAAATGAGTGTAGACGCTCAAGCCCTAGGTTAACAAACCCAGCGTCTGCTAACTCAGGTTCTACAAACCCTGGGCTTACACTGCAGTGTAGACAGCCCATTAGAGCTTGTCTACATGGGGCAGTTGACTGAAACAGTTCCCTGTGTGGACTCTGTTCCAGACGAAAGGAGACTGTGTTCCAGAATGCCGACTCTGCTCCCAAAGTCCTGCTTCTGCTTTCCTGGGGGCTTGTTTCTGAGTAAATTCAGTAGGGCTTGAAGAGTTTGTTCTAAGCCCTAGACATTGTGCCAGGATGGGGAGAGGTGGGCTCCTCGCTGCTGATGTGATGAACGTTCCTGACCCCCGTGGGGTGGCTGCTCATCCCTAGTGAATGTCTGTGCCCTCCACCCCCAGACACAAGCTCTAAAGGGCCCGTGAGTCTGGAATGAGAACTGAAGGACTCGAAAGCAGTTCCCATGTTCTGCCTTGGGTCTCTGCCCTCTGCTGTGCTTTGCTGCTCTTACCACAAACACCCAGCTCAGTATTCGGGAAGAAAGCCTTGTATTTTACCAAATACCCTGGCTGTTGACTAACCGCCCATTCCATTCTGTCCACACTGTCCCAGCCTTCCTGTTCCACAGTGAGTGACAGGAGACGCCATACCCCCTCCCTCACTTCACGTGCAACTGACACCCTGCCATCAGTTCCCAGAGCACCCGCCGGAGCGCTGATGCTGCGCAAAGCTCCCAACGCCAAGAGAAGTGGCACTGATGCAGCAAAAAGAGGAACACAACTGGGGCAGGGAAGAGCTTCATCACTTCCCAGAGGGGCCAACGTGCTAGAGAATCTTTCCATTAATAGGATCTGCACAAAACCAGCCTGCTAGTAATGGGACTAGACAGCTCGGGGTGGGGAGACGCAGCCTGAACAGACCCGTGCGAAAGGCAGGCAGCGTCGTAATGCACGGATGGCACTTTGCACCTGCCGAGTGTCCGGCGTACGGTTATTGAGCCTCTCTACGCTATGGTGAGATAGACCCTCAGGCAAACATGCAAGGGACCTGCCCCAAGCCACTCAGCAAGTCCTGGCTCCCATTCCCGTGCACTGACTGCAAGACCTGCCTTGGCTGGTGGGCCAACAGCCATGCCAGTGGGGACGGGGACAAAGGACAAATGTGGAATCGTTTCCCAGGGGAGCACTGGAGCCTCGCGCAGGCAGGAGACACCCGTACCCGGCTGTCCTGACACGGAGCTGATGGAGACAAGTCCATTCTCAGGCGTGCTCTGCATTGCAGAACATTTCCGATTTCACAAGAGAGTGGCATGGCCTGGGAGAGATTACGAGGCTCCTAGTGTGCTGGGGCAGGGCTCCGTCTTTGGGGTGAGCCCAGTTCCCCAGAGGTGCTCTCTTTCTTGAGGGTCTCTTCTGAAAGGCCTCTCTAGGGATCGAGGTGGAGGGGGTGAGCAATGGCGCTCTTGTTCAGCGTTTGAAACCGTAGCTAGCAAGCGGGCTCGTGTGCGTGTGATGGAGTCGATCAGCAATGCTGGCCATGTTTCTCCATTACTCCTGCTGCTCTCGGCAGCACAGCTGGGTCTTCCCGTGTGAGCCCAAAGATTTCTAACAGGCCTGTCGCGCCAGATGGGCTCTCTGCTTTTGGAAAAAATAGAACTGATTAACACCTGAGCGAGTGCACACGGCGTCCTGAGATGGCGTTAAAGGAATATTAACAGCACCACCCCCATGGAGAGAGCGGCTCTCGCCATGCTGCAAACACCCCTGAGTCAGGAGGTCTCTGGGAGGCCTCAGGAATCGGTGCCAGGACACGGCTAGGCCACTGGTTCACACCCAGTCCAGGCTAAGGGTGAACAAAGGAGTCCCTGCTGGGGGCTGCTCGTAGGCTGTTGCCCAGTGGTTCATTTCTCCACCACTCCCAGGAGGCTGCCGGGCTGCATGTTGTGCGATGCGAAAGGCAGTGGCTAGCTCTAGTCACTGACTGGCCTCCTGGGCCAGCCACCAATTCTGCGGGTTCTCTCCATTCTGCACAAGCACGGAGCTCTGTGATAACAGACATTAGCAAACAGTAACAGGTGGACGGTACCTGTATCCCGGAGTCAGGCCTTTCTCCTCAGGAGCCTCGCTAATCCCAGAAGCTCCGATGCCAGGCTGTTAAACAGCTCTCATGCACTTTGTCCTGTAGCCAGGTTGCCCGGGTGTACTTACAGCAACATCTGTTTGTGAGCTGGAAACTCAAACATCCCTACCGGAGCCAGATGAGATATCGAAACACTCCCTGAGGAGCTTAGCGGGTGGCATGTCAGCAGGAATCTGCTGAGAGCAATTCAACCAACAGAGACAAACCTGTCGAAATTCTTCCTACAGATGCCTGGAGAGCAGGTCTGCGGCGCTGCTTGTTGGCTCCACTCATCAGAACGCTAGTTTGGAATGACTGCAGCAGCTACTGGCAATCTGGTGGGGGAAGCCCTTTCCTTTGCCCAGCGCCTACAGAGTGCTTTCCCCTGAGATCTCACAGCATATGACAGTGGGGGTCGGTACCCCTCCCACATTTCACACATGGGGAAACTGAGGCACAGAGCGAGGCAGTGACTTGAGATTTACTGTGTGTGTCAGGGAGTCTGACCCAGCCATCCCAGCTCTTACCCAGGGGAGGGAACTGGAACTTTCTTGGAAGCGAGTCACAGCCCTGGTGGGAGGGGCTCACCGGACCCACCCTCTGACCAGTCAGCTCTTCTGTCTACCCGGTCCTTGATGTGGGTAAACAGGGGAGCAGTGCAGCAGCTGGCTTTATCAGGTCGTAGGCCGTTGTTCCATTTCACAGGAACTTCAGTTAAACCACAAACTTGACCCGAAGCCCCTTCCCAGGGGGCTGGTGGAAGCCTCCTGACGGGGCCACTGGTTGGGTTCAGGAAGGGTAGCAAACTCCCAGGACCCTGGCAGGACCAGTCTGAGTTGTCCAGTTGCCGATTTTGCAGAAGGGAAGACTCTGCCCATTGGCATCCCAGTGCCCCTTTTGTCTTTCCCATCCCGCTGCTGCCGGGCGGCACTGGAGTTTGAAACACGTCCCACCCCAGGTGCTTTCCAAGCCCTTGAATGCTGTCAGGAAGGGAGAAGCCACCCAGCAACTGGGTAACTCTTTCTGTTTGTGTCTTAAGCGCTCACTCAGCGACAGAGAGAAACAAGAAGTAGAGCTGGCAGAGGCAGAGATGTCCCGACCCCCATAGACGTTGACAAGTAAGTTGGTATGCTGACTTCTTAGAGCTTGTTTCTGTGCAGCCCGTCCCCCAGCCCATGTCTCTATTCCTGCCTGTTTCCTTGCAGCAACTTCCCCATAATCTGTGTTCTTCCCTTGGGGCTCATCACTGTGGTATCTAAGCCCCTCGATGGTATCTGGGTGTCCTCAGACAAGCACAAAAGAAATCTGTTTCTTTTCATACTCTCAATTCCATTCAGTTGATTTCAGCCAGCTCGCTGTGCCGTTTGGAAGCGTGGAGGGGTATCAGGTGGGCCAGTGCAGGCAGTGTGCTGAGTGCAGGAGCCCCGTGGAAGGGAGAGGGTAGATGGGAAGGCTGACAGGATGGCACCTGGACTGATGAGCTTAATTCACTTAGACTTCCAGAGTCGCAGTGGTTTTGCTGAATCTCTCCCTGTGCAGCTCCACCTCCTCCCTCCCACACAGAGACTCCGAAGAGAGGGTCTGACAGTGCCGTCCCTGCCGGGGAAGCCATTCCACCGTTACAAACAGTGGATGGCAACATCACGAATGGAATTAGGCTAATTACAGAGAGGACAGCTTCTGTTTAGACACATCATCTGGTAATCAGCACTGCCTGGAAAGAAAGCATCAGAGAAGAACCCACTGCGTAGAGTGTGCTGGGGGCTCTCCTTGCACGTACTGGAGAGCGTGGGGCCCCTCACTTCCCTCGGGTAACCGAGACACCTCTGCTGAACAGCGATTGCTGTTTCCACTGCTCTGTCCCCAGTTATCCCCTGCCAGCCCAGATGGGCACGGCCGCTGACTGGCACAGGCCTCCAGAGTAGTGCGTGCTCAGTCCTGCGGACTGTGAAGTAGGGAGAGGGAAGAGAGACTTGGGCTGCTAATCAGACAAGATCAGCCAGCCCGAGGAACATGGCTCTCTGCTTTAACACGCTGGGTTTGCTTCTCCAGCAACATGTAACTCCCTTGTGCATGCCCTGAACTCTTCATTTCTGCAGTTTGACAGGGTGTTTTATGGCTGAGCCATCAGCTGAGCTGATTTCATTACCATCCCACTGCTGCAGCCGCAGGGGACAGAGAAACAGACAGGGGAAACGGCTGATCACTCTGTTGTTTTGACTGGCATCGGGCTGGCTTTATGGGCGATCCCACTGAGCCAGTGCTGCTCCACAGACGTGCCTCATCAGTGGAATGGCCTGGAGAAGTAAAACGCCACGGTGGGCGTAAGTGACAGCCCAGCTGCAGAGTGAATCGTAATGCACTGCTCTGCTTCCCTTGCCCGGCAGGTGTGAGAAGTGCTACCTTTGTAAGGCCCGGGTGCCGCTGGCAGAGTATCCGAGGCATGTGGACAGCTGCCTGCAGACTGCGAGGGACGCTCAGGGAAACCGGAGGCTGCGCAGTGCCAAGGTGAGGGTGGAGTCCAGCCTCATTCCAAGGCCCGGGGGGATTTGTTCTGCATCGGCTTTGCTGCTTGGCCTCCAGCGTGAGCGAGCATGTGATTGGCTGGGTGGATCTGGCTTTGCCCACGGCGGGGTCACCTATTGCCTTGTTACAAGAGCATCAGCGCACTCCAAGTGTGGGGGGAGGGCTGGGCCTGTCCTGCTGCACCCCAATCAGGCCAGTTCCTGGGTGACCACAGGTGGAATTGCTGGGAGGGAGGCATAGGTAGGGGGACAGGACTGTGAAAGGGAGCCCAGGCCATCTGCCACGGTCCCTGGGAGAGGCTGGGCAGGGCAGGCTGGGAACGGAGGGGGGCCCTCCCTGGCAGCCCCATGATGGCTCTGTGTTCTTCTTTGTCACAGGACGTTGGGCGGAGTGAAGGCAGACTCCTCAGCATGCTGGAGATGTCCGAGTGCAAGTCTGCAGGTGGGGCCACCACATCTCCAAAGCACACGCACCCTCACCCCCACTCACACTGTGGGGCCCGGGCTGTTCGACACAGCGTTGCTAGCCACGGGGGAGTAACCCGTCGCTGCCCCAGTATCAGCTGGCTCTGATCCCCCCCAAGGGGAGCTGGCTGTTGGCAAGCCATGGGGGAAAGGCCTGGGCCTGTATCTCTCCCCATATGCTCTGGGAACCCCACTGATCTCAGGGCAAGTGCTCCTGCAGGGGGCTCCCCTCTGCTAGGCAGTTGCTGACCCATACAGCCCATCACCTCTCTTAGCACGGACAGAGCCTGGGGCCACGGACCAGAGCAGGCGGGGCAGAGGGTCCCCAACCCAAGTGCTTACTGGAGCTCTGAGCCCATCGGTAACAAGAGGTCTCGGCCCCTCAGCCTCACCCAGTGGGCAGTGGCTGATTTCACCTGCTGCGCAGGCTCCCAGGGACCCGTGTGCAGGCTCTGTTGGAGCTGGCTGTGCCCTGCAGTACGCCCATGCCCCATGTCACCCGAAACGTGCTCCTGGCCTGGAGTGGAAGAGAGCTGGCAGCTGGAGGTGGGGGCAGGCTGTCTAGCCAGCCTAGGGTCTGTGGGGTGCAGTGGCCAGGCTCATCCCTAAGCAGATGGAGCGCTTGGGGTGGGAAAAGCCTCCCCAGCCCTGCTGCTGATGTGAAGCGGGGGCTCCATGCTCCTGGCTTGTCCCCATGTTGGGCTCTGGGGCCGATCCCCAGAACAGACGTGGCCCAGTCCCTAGGCATGCTAGTGAGCATTGTGCTCCGAGAGTCAGCCCCGCTGCAACCCGGGATCGCTGCTCAGTGCAGGGGACGGCGCAACCAGGCGTCTGGGAGTGAGATTCACTAGGGCTGTGTGTCTCCCAAGCATGCCCTGGGATGCAGCCTGCCTGCAGCCCGGGCTGCTCCTGCTAGCGAAGTGCAGTCGGCTGGTGTCAGGGTCCCCTGCCCCACATGCAGGCATGTTGCCGCGGTCAGCAGTGCTGCTGGCCCCCAGAGACAGAGCTGCTGCGTCTATGTGAGGCTCTGCTGTGTTCTCATTGCAGATGCTGATGCTGGGGCCATGCTGGCAGCAGGAGGAGACCCGAGGTCAGCCGGGGCTTTGTGAACTGCAGGTTTTCTTCTCCCTGCTCTGCCCCGCCCTGGCAGCGTGGTGTTGCTGGCCGTTCTGGGCAGCGGTGCCCGGCACTGGCTGTGACTGTGTGCTGTTAATGCAGAGCCCGCGGAATGAGCAGGGCAGAGAGAGCAGAGCTGGGGCCCTGAGCCCCCTTCTCGCGGCTCCTCTTGGTGCCCTGCTTCCACCAGCCCCTCATGAGCCACTGGGACAGGCCACTTTGCCTCTGGCTCAGCATCAGTGCCAGCTTCCCACTTCATTCCCCAGACCTTGTCCCTTCCTTCCTGGATGCCAGGCTGCTGTGGGAGCCGGGGTCTTTGCTTCTCTCCCTTGAGAGCTCCTTGCCCAGGCTTGTCATCTCCTGCTGTCAGCAGTTTAGCTGGGGCTCCTGGGGAGTCATGCTCAGGGCCCCTTGCAGCTGGCCAGGCTCGGTGCTGGCCGAGGACAAGCTGGCTGGAGCCTGTGGCCAGCTGACCTGTTTGGAGGCTTTGCTGCAGAGCAGCTGCTCCCTGGCCCCTTTGAGGGCAGGGTGGCCCAGCTGGCAGAGTGGGGCTGGGGACGGGGTGTAGCAGGCAGGAGGCTGGGCAGGCAAATCCTGCAAGGAAGAGGGGTCGTTCTCCACTTGGGGAAGGGCAGGTGGTGGCTGGTTCAGGGGTGGGGGAGCTTGGTTTGGGGATATCCTGGGCTGCTAGACTAGAGGACTGCCCAGCCCACTTCTGGGGCTCATCCCGGGCCCTTCAGTGAGCACCCAGGCCAGCTGTGCAGGGGCGCATCGGGCAGCTCCTCCTTTCCAGCTGCTGACAGGAGCAACACCAGCCAGTGTTCGGGCCTGGAAAGGAGGCGGGCAGAGCAGCTTGCGGCGTGAATGGGAGGCTTGGCGGCCGGGCCTAGATGCGGCTCAGTGGTGGTGGCTTCTTGCCTGGCTTGGCATTTATCTCTTCATTCCCTCCTCATCTCCATCAGGCACACCCCGTCGGGGGCTGAGGAGGAAGCTGGGTGCAGCCTGGCCCGGGAGAGCCCCCTTCCACACCTGGCTTTCAGTGACTTGCCCATTCCACCCTATGTGTCCGCTCCCGAAGCCGCAGGCTACGCGGGGGGCTTCCAGCAGCAGGTGGCCTGCAGCCAGCAGCAGAACAAGGGCAGCCGGAGGAGGAGGAGGAAATTCTGAGGCTTGAGCCATGGAGAAGGGACCTCGGGAGACCCACAGCGAAGGGGCAGCAGGGCCGTAGCCTCTGCTGGCCTTGTGCAGTGAGAGCCCCGGGCAGAGCCCCTGCCTGCGGCCAGGCAGTGTGACGTGCTTGTGGGCCAGACTGGGAGCCGTGGGGCGGAGACTTGCTGTGGGGCGCTCTCCAGCCAGACACTGACACACATTTATGGGTGTGTTTATGGAATGGCAGCGACCCGGAGGAGCATTCGGTGTCTTTCTTTGGGGCCAGGGCAGGGAGGAGCAGCGTGGGATGCCCCAGTGACTAGAAATCTTGGTGCCCAGCGCTGGCCTGGGGCCACCCCAAAGGCTCTTGTACACAGCAGCCCCGCAGGACACAGTGCTGTCCCTACCCTGGCCGAGCGTGGGGCTGGGCTGTGCACGGGGCCAGCAGAGGATCCCAGCAATGGCTTTGGGTTCTCCTGAAAGCAGGAGGGTTTCCAGAGGCGGGGGTGGGGGTGCCGGGGCGCTGGCATTAGCTGTGCACCCAGTTGCTTGTTACATGAGGCTCTGGTGCCCTTTGATCCTCTCCTGCTCCAAAGCCCAGCGTGCTTCCTGGAGGCCCTGCAGGCTCCGTGGGGACTGCGGGGAGCTGGGAGAGCCCCTCCAAGCCCAGGAAATGCCAGAGCTTCAGAAATGCAGGGTGTGTGATGTGGCTGGCCCAGCCCTCCCGAGTCCCATGGCATCTGCTCAGGCATCCTGTACGGAGGCAGTAAGCCAGGGAGCTGGGTGCTGGTTGGGACAGGCATGGCCCCAGGAGTGGCTGCTGTCTGGGAATCAGGTGTGTGCTGAGAACTCTGCTGGTTTACAGACACTGACTGGCATGGCAGCCGATGGGCACAGACTGGCACAGCAGCCAGCAGGCACACCTCTGCTCCCCGCCCTACATTCAGCGGAGCCTGCCAAGCTCAGAGGTGTGGGCTGGGCCAATGAACTGCTGCCCCAGCCCCTGGGGCTCCTCGCCCCGAGGCCCAGCCGTGCTCAGGAAGTGACCCGGAGGAAGGCGTGGCCCATGCTGGCCTTACCAAGGGCTAAAGGGAATGAACTGCTGGGCAGAGGGCAGGAGCCGCCCGGCTGCATGACCAGTGGGCAAGGGAGAGGGAACGATTCGGGGCCCTCTGTAGGGGAGAATCCAACTGAAGTGAGCTGGGTTTGTCCTGCCCCAAAAGCTGGAGCTGGGGTTTGCCCTGAATGGCTGGCCCGAGGGATGCTGCCAATTCCCCAGGGTGTGTGCTCTTCCCGAGGTGGCTGAGCTTTCTGCTGTACCCCAGGCCAGCTGCCCTGCCCTCCCTGCAGAGCCAATGCAGGCAGCCAGCCCAGCCCAGCCCTGCCCATCACCTGGCTGGCCAGGTTGAGCATGTGGCTTTGGGCCCAGTGCTGGGGAGCAGCTGGTCCCCTGGTGCCCTTGACAGATGCCACCTTCTGACTCTGCTGTTGGTTTCCCCCACAACTCCCCTCTGCCATGCCCACATCTCCACCCCCAGCCTCTCCCCGGACTGTGGGGAAGCCACTGCCATGTCTTGCCTGCCCTGTGAGTGGCACAAGGCCCATGCCCCAGGGGAGGCACCATCAGGCTGGGCAGGGAGCTCGAGCTCCAGGCTCCATTGCAATGTGTGGAAGGGGGCTGGCTGGGGGGAATGGGACTGACTGGAAGGCAGGGCCCATGGGCCATGCACCCACCCCATCCCGGCAGCCCCTCAAGGCCGGGGAGCAAAAGCCAGACTGCCGTGACAGCCACTGGGAAACATGGCTGGGAGCCTGGGCAAAGCTGGTGCTTTCTCTCCCCTTTTCAAGTGCTTGCAGCAAGCACAGAGGGGGGCGGGCTGGGGGAAGTCCCAACCCCCTCCGCCCCCCCCCCCCCCCCCGGCAGGCACTCTGCACAGTGGCAGCAAGGCTGGGGCGTGGAGCAGAACGTGGTCCCTGTGAGGCTGTTGTCAGCTCTTGGCCGTGCTGGCTTCTGCCCCAGGACGGCTGCTGCCCCTCACCCGGGCTTTCAGGTTTCTGGCAAGAGCCGCAGCTGCTGGCATGGGTGGCCCCAGGCAGTGTACGCATGGTAGCCAGGGCCCAGCTTTGGCCTGGGGCCATGCCAGAGCCCCCCCAAGCCCGGGCCAGAGCTCTTCCTCAGGGTTCTCCACCCGCGGCAGCCCAGCCCCCCACTGTTGCTGGCTGAGGCCTCTGAGCTGCTGGAGCAGGGGTGGGGGTTCTCTGTCCCTGCCCAGTGCCCCCTGGTTCCATTAGGGGGTGACACCACATCTAGTCCCTGGGCCCCAGCTAATGGGGTCCCTGGCAGTGGCTCTGGAGTCCTGGACCCGGGAGCACGCTGCGGGAGGATGGAGCATGTGGGACCTGGAGGCAGCCAGTGTGCCTGCCCCTGGCACCAATCCCATGGATCTGGTGTCCCAGTCCTAGCACATGGTCTCTCCCTGCCTCCCCAGGCAGTGTCGGGGGCCGGTGGCACTGCTCCCCAGTGTCTGGGCAATGGAAAAGGGCAGATTATAGCGTGTTAAGCCCGGGGGGAGTCACCCCCCACACCAGCTGCTGCAATTGGCTCTGGAGTAGGGGCAGCATCGGGCTGGCTCTCCGCGTCTCAGCTGGCCAGGGAGGGGAGCTCAGCCTCCTGGTCTCATCCATCCTCTGCTGTGACCAGAAGCCGATTAGGCGTTTGTGGGGCCCTAGGCAGAGCAAGTGGGGGTCCCACCCCACCCCTTCCACTTACAGTTCTCCCTGTCCTCCTCCTGCCCCCCATCCCAGCACTCCTGCCAGGGGCTGGGCCGGGGCGTGGGGGCACCCAATTGGTTGGGGCCCCTGGGCATGGGCCCTGATGGCCCAGTGGCTAATCCGTCACTGGCTGCGATGGCTGCCAAGGGCCAGGGATACACCCCCTTCCCTGACTCACCCCACACACCCCCAGGGGGCAGGCCCACATGGCTGGGTAGTGCCCCCAGCTCATTAATCTCACCGGGCCTGGGCCACTGCCCAGCCAATCCCTGGCCAGGCCAGGAACCAGAGCCATGCCCAGGGCCTGGAGGGGCTCGGAGTCTGAAAGGCCAGCACGGGCCTTTCCCCAGGGCTGTCGCCTCCTGGAGCCGGCTCTGGGGGATGCTGTGGGTCCCAGCTTGGGCCAGCTCTGCTTCAGCCTCAGCAGCGACCATCCCCAGCCCTGCTCCCACTGCCGGGGGAGGCAGTTGGTTCCCGGGGTTTGTTCCCAGCGGCAGTCTGGCTTCCCTCCCTGCTCGGCTGGCCTGGGGCAGACCTGAGCCAATGTCTCCCAGTGGGACAGTCCCCTTCCGCTCTGTGGGGCACAGCCAGTGACCCCTTGTCTGTGGAGTGACTGTAGGGCCCCAGCCCAGCGGGGGCCAGGCTCAGCCCTTGCAGTGGGGGGGTGCAGCTATGTGAGGGCCTGTGACACAGCAGGGAGTGGGGCAGATTGACCTGGGGATGTTGCAGGGGAGTTTCATTGGGGAGGGGAGCCTTCCGTTGGGGGAAGACACCTGAGCCAGGAGGGGGGTTGGGGCCAGGTGACACCTGCCCAGGAAACTGGACAAAGGCAGGAGGAGAAGCTGGGGGGAGGCTGGGGGAGATGACTGGAGGGGTTTCCAGTTTTGGGGAGTTGGCTGGGGAAGAGGAGGGAGCCCCAAGGCTGGGGTCTAATCTCCCTGCCCCCCAGAAGGGCCTGACTAAGGGATCCTGTTTATGCCTGCAAGCTCTGGGTTGGATTGTGTTCCTGTCGTCTCTAATAAACCTTCTGTTCTCCTGGCTGGCTGAGAGTCACGGTGAATCGCAGGAAGTGGGGGTGCAGGGCCCTGACTCCCCCTCACACCATGACAACTGGTGGTAGCTGTGGGATCTACGGCGCTGCCTGCAGTAAGTGACTGGGGAGCAGTAAACGAAGGGGGATTGACAGGGACCAGGCATGCTGAAGCTTCAGAGAGAAGCGGTTTCGGGGGGTGGAGGAGCTACGGTTAACCCCAGGGAGTGGTGACCTGGAGAAGGGCTGGCACACTGGGGGGTCCTGGAAGCCGTGGGGAGCTGAGAGCACCCAGGCCTGCGAGTGGCCAGCAGGGAGATGTACGCTAAGTGCCTTATGAGCCACCTGGTGGAGGGGGCTGCGCACTGGGAGGCTCACCAAAGAGCAGCTGGTTGCCCAGCTGGAGGAGGAGGATCGCTTGGATGACCCGATCCCTGTCTCTGAGAGAAGCAGCCCAGCAGAGGCAGCGTGGGCCCCGCTGCCTGACCTGGCTGGGAGGGGTCAGACGGCTGCCAAGGGCAACCCGAGACCCCTCCTAACTATGCCTGGGGAGGAGCCCACTGAATACCGAGGGCACCCAGATCCTGGCAGCCAGCCAGGGATCCTCCCAGCAGAGCTCCCCATCCTTGGAGCAGAGGGGGCTGGAATGGGAGAGGGAGATAAAACTGAGAGAGCTAGAGGATCACGAAAGCAGCAACAGCATGAGCTAGAGCTGGAGCTGGCCAGGCTGAGGAGCAGCGAGCCTCCGGCTGCAGTGAGTGAGGGGGGACCAAGACTGCACCGAGCTTTGATAAGTGCGTCCTGGCCCAGCGTAAGGAGGAGGAGGACACAGATCAGTGCTTCTCAAGCTATCTGATGTGGGGGACTGGCATTTTTTCCCCAATGTGCGCACAGACTGGCAGCCGATGGCTCGCAGACCGGCACCGGTCCGCAGACCACCACTTTGAGTAGCGCTGACATAGATGACTTCCTGACGGCCTTTGAGAATGCCTGCAAGCTGCACAGGTTGCCCCTGCTGCCAGGCTCTGGTTTCTCACCCCCCTACTGCACCCCAAGCAGTGTCGATGTACAACCAAATGGAAGGGGCAGAGAAAAGGGACTATGAACTATTCAAAAAGGCCCTGCTACACGAGTTTGGGCTGACTCCCGAGATGTACCGGGAAAGGTTCCAGAGTCAGTATAAAACCCCTGAGGTCACGTATCTGCAACTGGCCACCCGCATGGAGGGATATGCCCTCAAGTGAGCAGATGGGGCCCAGATGAAGGAGGACCTGCTTGACCTAATCATACTGGAGCAACTGTATGAACAGTGCCCTTCCGACCTGAGGCTGTGGCTGGTGGACAAAAAGCTAGAGAACCCCCAGCACGCAGGGCAGCTGGCTGACGAGTTTGTGAACAGTCGGTCAGGGGGTAGCCGGCAGAAGTCCCAAAAGAACAGGCCCCCCACGATGCAAAGAGAGAGTCACCATGGGGCCTCCCAAAGGGGGAATATGGAGAACCCCTTCCCAAGGGGAACATCTGGCATCAGGACCATCCGACCCGCTCGAGGGGAGCAAAGTGACCTGAGCTGCTATCACTGTGGCCAGAGAGGCCACGTACGGACCCAGTGCCCCAGGCTCAGGGACAGACTGAGCAGACTGAACCTGCACAGGGTTAACTGGGTAGGGACCAGTCCAGATGAGGGGCAGGCTTCCCAGACAAGGGGGGCTGGCAGCTTATCCCCTGCTCAGGAGGGAGGAGCGCCCCAGACCAGCTCCTCTGGAGGGCTGGATGCTCCAGACTCAGGGTGCTCGGTTTACAGGGTGGGCGCGGGGCTCTCCCTCCGGAGAGAGTGCCTTGTTCCCCTGGAGGTGGATGGGAGGAAGGTCCAGGGACACTGGGACACGGGCGCTGAGGTGACACTGGCCCGGCCTGAGGTGGTGGCCCAGATCGGGTGGTGCCCGACACCTACCTGACCCTGATGGCAGAACCTGTGGTGAGGGTACATCTGAAATGGGGGGCCAAGGAGGGCCCCAAGGACATGGGGGTGCACCACCATTTGTCCACTGAGGTGTTGATGGGGAGTGACCCTGGAGGACTCGCAAAGCAACCTCCAGGGTGCCCTGGTTGTGACCCGTAGCCAGAGCTACCAAGGGGTACTGCGCCCTGACCTCGGGAAGGATACCTTACCAGAGGTGCAGGACCCCACCTCAGTGGGGAGGGAGCGCCCAGGGACAAGGCTCAGAGAGGCTGCGGCCTCAGACCCGGCCAGCGAGAAGGAGCAGGCCCCCATCCCTTCCCCAGCTGCTGAGTTCCAGAAATCATAGAATATCAGGGTTGGAAGGGACCTAAGGAGATAATCTAGTCCAACCCCTTGCTCAAAGCAGGACCAAACCCCAATTTTTGCCCCAGATCCCTAAATGGCCCCCTCAAGGATTGAACTCACAACCCTGCATTTAGCAGGCCAATGCTCAAACCACTGAGCTATCCCTCCCCCCGATCCCTCCTTGCAGAAGCTCAGGGACCTGGCCGACCTCAGTGTGGTACGGACCATGAGGAGAGGCTGCCAGGAGAGGTTCCTGTGGGAGAAGGGGTTCCTATACCGAGAATGGGCTCCCACAAGGGAAGTAGAGTCCTGTGGGATCAGGAGGCAGCTGGTGATCCCCCAGAAGTATCGCCGCAAGCTCCTGTCCCTGGCCCATGACATCCCTCTCGCAGGGCACCAGGGAATCCGGCGCACCCGGCAGAGGTTGCTACAGAACTGTTACTGGCCCGGGGTCTTTACCACGGTCCGGCAGTATTGCCGATCCTGTGACCCCTGTCAGAGGGTGGGGAAGGCCCGGGACAAGGGGAAAGCGGCTTTGAGACCTTTGCCCATCATAGAGGAGCCTTTCCAGAAAGTGGCCATGGACATCGTGGGGCCTCTCAGCAAGACGACCCAGTCGGGGAAGAAATACATTCTGGTGGTGGTAGATTTTGCCACCTGCTACCCCGAGGCAGTGCCCTTAGCTTCCATTGAAGCAGACACCGTGGCCGATGCGCTCCTGACCATTTTCAGCCGAGTGGGGTTCCCCAAGGAAGTCTTGACAGACCAAGGATCCAACTGCATGTCGGCCCTGCTCCGGTGCTTGTGGGAGAAATGTGGGGTCCGGCACAACTGGGCCTCAGCTTATCACCCCCAGTCCAATGGGCTGGTGGAGAGGTTCAATGGGACGCTAAAGATGATGCTGAAAACCTTTATGAACCAGCACCCGCAGGATTGGGACAAGTACTTGCCTCACCTGTTGTTCGCGTACAGGGAGGTGCCCCAGGAGTCTACCCGATTTTCACCTTTCGAACTGTTATATGGAAAGAGGGTGAAGGGCCCCCTGGACCTGATGAGAGACAAATAGGAGGGGAAGGCCACTCCCGATGGGGAGTCAGTGGTGGAGTATGTTCTCATAGACTTTAAGGTCAGAAAGGACCATTATGATCATCTAGTCTGACCTCCTGCACAACGCAGGCCACAGAATCTCACCCACCCACTCCTGCGAAAAACCTCTCACCTATGTCTGAGCTATTGAAGTCCACAAATCATGGTTTAAAGACTTCAAGGTGCAGAGACTCCTCCAGCAAGTGACCCATGCCCCACGCGGCAGGGAAAGGCGAAAAACCCCGAGGGCCTCTGCCAATCTTCCCTGGAGATAAATTCCTTCCCGACCCCAAATATGGTGATCAGCTGAACCCTGAGCATGTGGGCAAGACTCAATAGCCAGACACCCAGGAAAGAATTCTCTGTAGTAACTCAGATCCCACCCCATCTAACATCCCATCACAGGCCATTGGGCCTATTTACCACTAATAGTCCAAGATCAATTAATTGCCAAAATCATGTTATCCCATCATATCATCTCCTCCATGAATTTATCAAGCGTAATCTTGAAGCCAGATAGGTCTTTTGCCCCCACTGCTTCCCTTGGAAGGCTGCTCCAGAACTTCACTCCTCTGATGGTTAGAAACCTTCGTCTAATTTCAAGTCTAAACTTCCCGATGGCCAATTTATATCCATTTGTTCTTGTGTCCACATTGGTATTGAGCTTAAATAATTCTTTTCCCTCTGTGGTATTTATCCCTCTGATATATTTATAGAGAGCAATTCTATCTCCCCATAGCCTTCTTTTGGTTAGGCTAAACAAGCCAAGCTCCTTGAGTCTCCTTTCATGAGACAGGTTTTCCATTCCTCGGATCATCCTAGTAGCCCTTCTCTATACCTGTTCCAGTTTGAATTCATCCTTCTTAAACATGGGAGACCAGAACTGCACGCAGTATTCCAGGTGAGGTCTCACCAGTGCCTTGTATAACGGCACTAACACCTCCTTATCTCTACCGGAAATACCTCGCCTGATGCATCCCAAGACCGCATTAACTTTTTTCACGGTCATTTCACATTGACGGCTCATAGTCATCCCGTGATCAACCAATACTCCAAGGTCCTTCTCCTCCTCTGTTACTTCCAATTGATGCGTCCCCTGCTTATAGCTAAAATTCTTGTTATTAATCCCTAAATGCATAACCTTACACTTCTCACTGTTAAATTTCATCCTATTGCTATTACTCCAGTTTACAAGGTCATCCAGATCTTCCTGTATGATATCCCGGTCCTTCTCTAAATTGGCAATACCTCCCAGCTTTGTATCATCCGCAAACTCCCACTTTTTGTGCCGAGGTCAATAATAAAAAGATTAAATAAGATTGGTCCCAAAACTGATCCCTGGGGAACTCCACTGGTAACCTCCCTCCAGCCTGACAGTTCACCTTTCAGTGTGACCCACTGTAGTCTCCCCTTTAACCAGTTCCTTATCCACCTTTCAATTTTCGTATTGAGCCCCATCTTTTCCAATTTAGCTAATTCCCCATGTGGCACCGTATCAAATGCCTTACTGAAATCGAGGTAAATTAGATCCACTGTGTTTCCTTTGTCTAAAAAATCTGTTACTTTCTTGAAGAAGGAGATCAGGTTGGTTTGGCATGATCTACCTTTTGTAAAACCATGTTGTATTTTGTCCCATTTACCATTGACCTCAATGTCCTTAACTACTTTCTCCTTCAAAATTTTTTCCAAGACCTTGCATACTACAGATGTTGAACTAACAGGCCTGTAGTTACCTGGATCACTTTTTTTCCCTTAGAAGCATAGAATCATAGAATATCAGGGTTGGAAGGGACCTCAGTAGGTCATCTAGTCCAACCCCCTGCTCAAAAGCAGGACCCATCCCCAACTAAATCATCCCAGCCAGGGCTTTGTCAAGCCTGACCTTAAAAACTTCTAAGGAAGGAGATTCCACCACCTCCCTAGGCAACGCATTCCAGTGTTTCACCACTCTCCTAGTGAAAAAGTTTTTCCTAATATCCAACCTAAACCTCCCCCACTGCAACTTGAGACCATTACTCCTTGTCCTGTCCTCATCCACCACTGAGAATAGTCTAGAACCATCCTCTCTGGAACCACCCCTCAGGTAGTTGAAAGCAGCTATCAAATCCCCCCTCATTCTTCTCTTCCGCAGACTAAACAATCCCAGTTCCCTCAGCCTCTCCTCATAAGTCATGTGTTCCAGACCCCTAATCATTTTTGTTGCCCTCCGCTGGACTCTTTCCAATTTATCCACATCCTTCTTGTAGTGTGGGGCCCAAAACTGGACACAGTACTCCAGATGAGGCCTCACCAATGTCGAATAGAGGGGGACGATCACGTCCCTCGATCTGCTGGCAATTCCCCTACTTATACATCCCAAAATGCCATTGGCCTTCTTGGCAACAAGGGCACACTGCTGACTCATATCCAGCTTCTCGTCCACTGTCACCCCTAGGTCCTTTTCTGCAGAACTGCTGCCTAGCCATTCGGTCCCTAGTCTGTAGCGGTGCATTGGGTTCTTCCGTCCTAAGTGCAGGACCCTGCACTTATCCTTATTGAACCTCATCAGATTTCTTTTGGCCCAATCCTCCAATTTGTCTAGGTCCTTCTGTATCCTATCCCTCCCCTCCAGCGTATCTACCACTCCTCCCAGTTTAGTATCATCCGCAAATTTGCTGAGAGTGCAATCCACACCATCCTCCAGATCATTTATGAAGATATTGAACAAAACCGGCCCCAGGACCGACCCCTGGGGCACTCCACTTGACACCGGCTGCCAACTAGACATGGAGCCATTGATCACTACCCGTTGAGCCCGACAATCTAGCCAACTTTCTACCCACCTTATAGTGCATTCATCCAGCCCATACTTCTTTAACTTGCTGACAAGACTACTGTGGGAGACAGTGTCAAAAGCTTTGCTAAAGTCAAGAAACAATACATCCACTGCTTTCCCTTCATCCACAGAACCAGTAATCTCATCATAGAAGGCGATTAGATTAGTCAGGCATGACCTTCCCTTGGTGAATCCATGCTGACTCTTCCTGATCACTTTCCTCTCATGTAAGTGCTTCAGGATTGATTCTTTGAGGACCTGCTCCATGATTTTTCCGGGGACTGAGGTGAGGCTGACTGGCCTGTAGTTCCCAGGATCCTCCTTCTTCCCTTTTTTAAAGATTGGCACTACATTAGCCTTTTTCCAGTCATCCGGGACTTCCCCCGTTCGCCACGAGTTTTCAAAGATAATGGCCAATGGCTCTGCAATCACAGCCACCAGTTCCTTTAGCACTCTCGGATGCAACTCGTCCAGCCCCATGGACTTGTGCACGTCCAGCTTTTCTAAATAGTCCCTAACCACCTTTCTTAAAAATAGGAACTATGTCAGCAATTCTCCAATCATACGGTACAACCCCTGAGTTTACAGATTCATTAAAAATTCTTGCTCATGGGCTTGCAATTTCATGTGCCAATTCCTTTAATATTCTTGGATGAAGATGATCTGGGCCCCCTGATTTAGTCCCATTAAGCTGTTCGAGTTTGGCTTCCACCTCAGATATGGTAATATCTACCTCCAGATCCTCATTCCCATTTGTCATGCTACCATTATCCCTAAGATCCTCATTAGCCTTATTAAAGACTGAGGCAAAGTATTTGTTTAGATATTGGGCCATGCCTAGATTATCCTTGACCTCCACTCCATCCTCAGTGTTTAGCGGTCCCACTTCTTCTTTCCTTTTTTTCTTATTTATATGGCTATAGAACCTTTTACTATTGGTTTTAATTCCCTTTGCAAGGTCCAACTCTACATGACTTTTAGCCTGTCTCACTTTATCCCTACATGTTCTGACCTCCATAAGGCAGCTTTCCTTGCTGATCCCTCCCATCTTCCACTCCCTGTAGGCTTTCTGCTTTTTCTTAATCACCTCTCTGAGATGCTTGCTCATCCAGCTTGGTCTACAACTCCTGCCTATGAATTTTTCCCCTTTCTTGGGATGCAGGCTTCCGATAGCTTCTGCAGCTTTGATTTAAAGTAATCCCAGGCCTCCTCTACCTTTAGATCCATAAATTCTTCAGTCCAATCCACTTCCCTAACTAATGTCCTTAATTTTTGAAAGTTAGCCCTTTTGAAATCAAAAACCCTAGTCCCAGATTTATTTTTGTTTATCCTTCCATTCAGTTTGAACTGAATTAGCTCATGATCACTCGAACCAAGGTTGTCCCCTACAACCATTTCTTTTAGGAGGTCCTCACTACTCACCAAAACCAAATCTAAAATGTCATCCCCTCTAGTCGGTTCAGTAACTACTTGATGAAGGAATCCATCAGCTATCGCAGCCAGGAAAATCTGAGCCCTATTGTTATTACTAGCACTTGTCCTCCAGTCTATATCTGGGAAGTTAAAGTCTCCCATGATCACGCAGTTTCCATTAGTATTTACTTTATTAAAAACATTAAAGAGGGCTCGATCCATATCCACATCGGTTCCCGGCGGTCTATAGCACACCCCAAGCACTATCCCAGGGCAGGCTCTAGTAGTTTTCTTCCCCAATGTGATTTTTGCCCAGACAGACTCTGTCTTATCCATTCCATCACTTCTTATTTCTTTACAGTCGACCTCCTCATTGATCTACAGTGCTACTCCACCCCCTTTGCCTTTATTTCGGTCTTTCCTAAACAGCACATACCCTTCAATACCCGTAGTCCAGTCATGACGACTATTCCACCCTGTTTCTGTTCTCCCTAGAATATCTGGTTTCACTTCCTGCACCAGTAGCTCTGGTTCCTCCATTTTGTTACCTCGGCTCCTCGCATTGGTGTACAAACATCTTCATTTTTGCTGTTTGGCTTCACTCACGTTCTGTACCTGATTCGGCACTGCCATTCTACAGCCAGTATCACCTATTTGACTGGTATCCTCACTGCCCTTCCTCCTTATGTCCATTCTCCTACCTACGGCTGTATCCTTTCTTATTTCGTTTTCTTTCCTCTCAATGTTAAAATCTAACAAGGAGATTACCTGGACGTCTCCCAGCCGTCTCCCCCAGATTCCTAGTTTAAAGCTCTTTTAATCAGTTGTGCCAGCCTCCATCCTAGAAGTCTATTTCCCTCCTCACTCAGGTGAAGTCCGTCCGGAGAGGACAGTCCTCTGTCCAGGAATGCCTCCCAGTGGCCACACATCCCAAAGCCCTCCTTCTAGCACCACTGCCTGAGCCATCCGTTGAGCATCATAATCTTGTCACACCTTTGTTGCCCTTCTCTAGGAACAGGCAAAATCCATTGAAGGTCACCTGAGCCTCGACTTCCTTAAGCGTCTTCCCCAGCCTGGCATAGTCGCCCTTGATACGTTCCAGTGAGAATCTAGCCGTATCATTTGTTCCCACATGAAGGATAATCAATGGATTCTTTCCTGCTCCCCTTAGGATCTTATTCAGCCTCAGGTCCACATCCTGTATCTTAGCACCCGGCATACAGCACACCGTTCTGTTCTCTGGATGTTACAGGCCTGTCTATTCTTCTCAGTAAGGAGTCCCCGGATCACGTAGCCCTGCCTTTCCCTGGTGATGATGCTATTCTCCAGTCTATCCCCTGTTCCCTCTGGCTGCAAGTCCTCTCGATTCCTATTTCTTGTAATCCTCTTCAACCCATCCTGTATCCTCCTGGGGCTCATATTTGGTGTTGTCTCCATTGACTCTTCCCCTTTTCCTATAGGACTAGCCACTCTTCTCTTCTTCCTTGCCCTTCTCACCTTCAGTGTCCACCTGCCGTACCCCTTCTTCATTTTCCAACTCTGCAAACCTGTTCTGGAGCTCTGTTTCTCCTTCACTAGCCTGTCTTTTCCTCTGCCTGGTGTGACGCAGCAGGGAGTGGGGAGTGTTGACCTGGGAATGTGGCAGGGGAGTTTCACTGGGGATGGGAGACCTGAGAGCCTGTCACCTGAGCCAGGAGGGGGAGGGGTAGGTAACACCTCTGCCTGGGAAACTGGACAAAGGCTGCAGGAGGAACCCTGCTGGGAGGGTTTTGGTTTCAGTTTTGGGCTGGGTGGTGAAATGCAGGGAACCTCAAGGCTGGGGTCTAAGCTCCCTGCCCCCAGAAGGAGTTGACTGAGGGGTCCTGGTTGTACCCACAAGCTCTGTTTTAGACTGTGTTCCTGTTGTCCAATAAACCTTCTGTTTTACTGACTGGCTGAGAGTCACTGTGAATCCCAGGAAGAGGGGTGCAGGCCCCAGACTCCCCCGCACTCTGTGACAACTGGTGGTAGCAGTGAGATCTACTGCACCCTGTAGACGGTGCTTCCAGCAGTAAGTGACTGGGGAGCAGTAAAACAAAGGGGGATTGACAGGGACCAGGCGTGCTGAAGATTCAGAGAGAGATGGTTTCAGGGGATGGTTAACCCCTGGGAGTGTGTGACCAGAGAGAAGGACTTTTGCAGTAACAGGGTCCCCCGGGGGATTGCAGCGAGCGGTCCCAGGGGTGGAGGAGTCTGCAGCTCGACCCTGGCAAAGAGGTGGTGACCTCAAGAAGGACTGGCACACTAGGGGTTTTTCCTGGAAACCGTAGAAAGCTGCCCAGGCCTGCGAGTGGCCAGCAGGAGATGTACGCTAAACGCCTTAAGAGCGACCTGGTGGAGCTGTGCAGGCAGAGGGGGCTGTGCATTGGGAGGTCCACCAAGAAACAGCTGATTGCCCAGTTGGAGGAGAGGGATCGCTTGGATGACCCGATCCCTGCCCCTGAGGGAAGCTGCTCGGCGCACGCAGTGTGGGTCCTGGGTCCTGACCGGGCTGGGAGGGGTCAGACTGCTGCCGAGGACATCCCGAGACCCTTCCTACCTATGCCTGGGGGAGGGGTTGGGGGAAGCCCAGCGAATACCGAGGGCACCCTGACCCCAGCAGCCAGCAGGGGATCCTCCCGGCGGAGCTCCCCATCCCTGGAGCGGAGGCGGCTGGAATGGGAGAGGGAGATGAAAATGATGGAGCTGGAGGATCACAAAAAGCAATGTCAGCATGAGCTGGAGGAGAAGGAGAAACAGAGGCAGCATGAAGAGAAGCAGAGACAGCATGCGCTGGAGCTGGCCAGGCTAAGGAGCAGTGGGGCCCTGGCTGCGCTGAGTGAGGGGGGACCCAAGACTGCAAGGAGCTTGGATAAGTGCTTCCTGGCCCAGCGTAAGGAGGGGGAGGACATAGATAGCTTCCTGACGGCCTTTGAGAATGCCTGCAAGCTGCATAGGGTTGACCCTGCAGACAGGCTCCAGTTTCTCACCCCCTTACTGGACCCCAAAGCCGTGGAGGTGTACAGCCGAATGAAAGGGCCGGAGGCAGGGGACTATGAACTGTTCAAACAGGCCCTGCTCTGTGAGTTTGTACCCCAAGATGTACCGGAGAAGGTTCCAGAGTCAGCGTAAAACGCCTGAGGTCACCTACCTACAACTGGTCAACCGGATGCAGGGATATGCCCACAAGTGGACAGCTGGGGCCCAAGCTAAAGAGGACCTGCTTGACCTAATCATACTGGAGCAACTGTATGAACAGTGCCCATCCGACCTGAGGCTGTGGTTGGTGGACAAAAAGCTCGAGAACCCCCAGCACGCAGGGTAGCTGGCCGATGAGTCTGTGAACAGTCGGTCAGGGGGTAGCCGGGAGGAGTCCCAAAAGAACAGCCCCCCCCGATGCAGAGAGAGAGTCACCAGGGGGCCTCCCAGCGGGGAAATAGGGAGAACCCCCTTCAAAGGGGAACGCCTGGCGTCGGGCCTCTCCGACCCGCTTGAGGGGACCAACGTGACCTGAGCTGCTATCACTGTGGCCAGAGAGGCCACGTACGGACCCAGTGCCCCAGGCTCAGGGACAGACTGAGCAGACTGAACCCACACAGGGTTAACTGAGTAGGGACCCATCCAGATGAGGGGCAGGCTTCCCAGACAAGGGGGGCTGGCAGCTTATCCCCTGCTCAGGAGGGAGGAGTACCCCCGGCCAGCCCCGCCACAGGGCTGGAGGCTCTGGACTCAGGGTGCTCGGTTTACAGGGTGGGCGCGGGGCTGTCCCTCTGGAGAAAGTGCCTTGTTCCCCTGGAGGTGGATGGGAGGAAGGTCAATGGATACTGGGATATGGGTGCAGAGGTGACGCTGGCCTGGCCGGAGGTGGTGGCCCCAGATCGGGTGGTGTCCAACACTTATCTGACCCTGACAGGGGTGGGCGGGACGCCATTTAAGGTGCCCGTGGCAAGGGTACACTGGAAATGGGGGGCCAAGGAGGGCTCCAAAGATGTGGGGGTACACCACCATTTGCCCACTGAGGTTTTGATGGGGGGAGACCTAGAGGACTGGCCAAGCAAGCCCCAGACCGCCCTGGTTGTGACCCATAGCCAGAGCCTGCGAGGGGCACTGCGCCCCGACCTTGGGGTGGGTACCACACCGGAGGTGCAGGACCCTACTCTGGTGGGGAGGGAGCGTCGCGGGTCACAGCTCAGAGAGGCTGTGGCCTCAGACCCGGCCACTGAGGGGGAACCGGGCCCCATCCCTTCCCCAGCCGCTGAGTTCCAGGCCGAGTTGAGGAAAGATCCCTCCTTGCGGAAGCTCAGGGACCTGGCCGACCTCAGGGTGGGACGGACCATGAGGAGAGGCTGCCAGGAGAGGTTCCTGTGGGAGAAGGGGTTCCTGTACCGAGAATGGGCTCCCCCAGGGGAAGTGGAGTCCTGTGGGATCCGGAGGCAGCTGGTGATCCCCCAGAAGTATCGTCGCAAGCTCCTGTCCCTGGCCCATGACATCCCCCTCGCAGGGCACCAGGGAATCCGGCGCACCCGGCAGAGGTTGCTACAGAACTGTTACTGGCCCGGGGTCTTTACCACGGTCCGGCAGTATTGCCGATCCTGTGACCCCTGTCAGAGGGTGGGGAAGGCCCGGGACAAGGGGAAAGCGGCTTTGAGACCTTTGCCCATCATAGAGGAGCCTTTCCAGAAGGTGGCCATGGACATCGTGGGGCCTCTCAGCAAGACGACCCAGTCGGGGAAGAAATACATTCTGGTGGTGGTAGATTTTGCCACCCGCTACCCCGAGGCAGTGCCCTTAGCTTCCATTGAAGCAGACACCGTGGCCGATGCGCTCCTGACCATTTTCAGCCGAGTGGGGTTCCCCAAGGAAGTCTTGACAGACCAAGGCTCCAACTTCATGTCGGCCCTGCTCCGGTGCTTGTGGGAGAAATGTGGGGTCCGGCACGACTGGGCCTCAGCTTATCACCCCCAGTCCAATGGGCTGGTGGAGAGGTTTAACGGGACGCTAAAGATGATGCTGAAAACCTTTATGAACCAGCACCCACAGGACTGGGACAAGTACTTACCTCACCTGCTGTTCGCGTACAGGGAGGTGCCCCAGGAGTCTACCCGATTTTCACCTTTCGAACTGTTATATGGAAGGAGGGTGAGGGGCCCCCTGGACCTGATGAGAGACGAGTGGGAGGGGGAGGCCACTCCCGATGGAGAGTCAGTGGTGGAGTATGTCCTGATCTTCCGAGAGAGACTTGCTGAGCAGGGAGATGACCCTTTAGTAGATCTATTCCCTGGGACCAGAGCTGGTTCCCCCCTGGAAACAATTCCCCTCTCAGATCAGCTAACCCCTGCCCAGCAAGCTGAGGTCAGGGGGGTGCTGCATCCGTGCCGACAGCTGTTTTCCAACCAGCCTGGACGCACTAATCTGACTGTCCACCGGGTGCAGACAGGGTCACACCCGCCGATAAGATGCTCCCCCTTCCGAGTCACAGGGAAAACTGCTCAGGACCTGGAAAGAGAGGTCCGGGACATGCTGGCTTTGGGGGTGATGCAGCCATCTGCCAGCCCTTGGGCCTCGTCGGTGGTGCTGGTCCCCAAAAAGGACGGGTCGGTCCGGTTCTGTGTGGACTATTGGAAGCTCAATGCCATCACTGTATCTGATGCCTACCCCATGCCCAGGCCGGACGAGCTCCTAGGCAAGCTGGGAGGAGCTCGGTACCTCACCACCATGGGCCTTACAAAGGGCTACTGGCAAGTGCCGCTGGATGCAGATGCCCGACTGAAATCGGCCTTTATCACCCCTCTGGGGCTCTATGAGTTCCTGACCCTGCCTTTCGGCCTCAAGGGAGTGCCGGCCACCTTCCAGCGCCTGGTGGACCAGCTCCTGAGGGGGATGGAGAGTTTTGCCGTGGCGTATATTGATGACATCTGTGTCTTTAGCCAGACCTGGGAGGACCAGGTGTCCCAGGTTAGACAAGTGCTGGACCGACTCCAGGGGGCTGGGCTGACTGTAAAAGCGGAGAAGTGCAAGGTGGGGATGGCGGAAGTATCTTACCTGGGCCATCGGGTGGGGAGCGGCTGCCTAAAGCCGGAACCAGCCAAGGTGGAGGTGATCAGAGACTGGCCCGCTCCCCACACCAAAAAGCAGGTCCAAGCCTTTATTGGGATGGCAGGATACTACCGAAGATTTGTGCCCCACTTTAGCGCCATCGCCACCCCCATCACCGAGCTATGCAAGAAGGGGAAGCCAGACAAGGTGGTCTGGACTGAGCAGTGCCAGGCGGCTTTCCGGGCGCTGAAGGAGGCTCTGGTCAGTGGCCCAGTTCTGGCAAACCCAGACTTTGACAAACCCTTTGTGGTGTTCACCGACGCCTCCGACACGGGACTGGGGGCGGTGTTAATGCAGGAGGATGAAAAGGGGGAGAGACACCCCATCGTGTACCTGAGCAAGAAGTTGCTACCCCGGGAGCAACACTACGCGGCCATCGAGAAGGAGTGCCTGGCCATGGTGTGGGCCCTCAAGAAACTAGAGCCCTATCTCTTCGGGCGGCACTTCACCGTCTACACCGACCACTCTCCCCTGACCTGGCTGCACCAGATGAAAGGAGCCAACGCCAAACTCCTGAGGTGGAGCCTGTTCCTGCAGGATTACGACATGGACGTGGTCCATGTGAAGGGAAGGGCCAACATGATAGCGGATGCGCTGTCCCGGAGAGGGGGCCCCGAACTTCCCCAGGTCACTGGTCACAGTGACCCCGCTCAGTTCAGTCTCGAAGTGGGGAGAGATGAGACGCAGCAGGGAGGGGGTTGTGTTGACCTGGGAATGTGGCAGGGGAGTTTAATTGGGGATGGGAGACCCGAGAGCCTGGAACCTGAGCCAGGAGGGGGGTTGGGGCCAGGTGACACCTTTGCCAGAGAAACTGGACAAAGGTGGGAGGAGGAGCTGGGGGGAGGCTGGGGGAGACGACTGGAGGGGTTTCCAGTTTTGGGGAGTTGGCTGGGGAAGAGGAGGGAGCCCCAAGGCTGGGGTCTAATCTCCCTGCCCCCCAGAAGGGCCTGACTAAGGGATCCTGTTTATGCCTGCAAGCTCTGGGTTGAACTGTGTTCCTGTCACCTCTAATAAACCTTCTGTTCTCCTGGCTGGCTGAGAGTCACGGTGAATCGCAGGAAGTGGAGGTGCAGGGCCCTGGCTCCCCCTCATGCCATGACACATCTTTACTGGAGCACGTCCGTGCGTCTGGAACATGCGTGACACTGACAGACCCTGGTCGTCTGCAGGCAGGATCGAACCTGGGACCCCTGGAGCTCAGTGCAGGAGCAAGCTGAGGCTGTAGAATGGACTCATTCAACCCTCTCTACGTGGTCCCGGTGCCACTAGATGGGCCAGAACTCCACATCCATCAGGTGTGTGGTTACACCTGCAGGCACCTGTGATTAACCTGGGCTGGGCAGGTGTGAGTTCCTGCGGCAGAGGGGGGTCCTGTGCATGGCCCCGGGCCCTGGGCTGCTCCAGTCTTTCCTAAGCAGGCGTGCATGGGAGCTGGGAGGAGAACCCAGGCATCCAGGGGGTGCATGTGCAGGGCTGGGCACGGCTGTCTCTGGTGGATTCAATGAGCCAAGGGGTGATGCCCCTACCCCAGGAAGCGAGGTGTGTGGCTGGGAGGGCAAGGCCCGCGCTGTCCACGGGGGCTGCGTGGAGCAGCAGGCAGACGAAAGGGTGGAGTACGTGCAGGAAGGGAGTACATGTGGTAAAACTTTATAGCTTGTCGCAGGCTACTTTCACTTTTGATACTAGGCAACAGCTGGGAGAGAGTGGAGCGAGCACACGCAGCAGTGCCAGGAGCGCCCGCAGCCCCGAGCGCCCACCCGAGCCCCGGTGAGTCCAGGCTGGGCACCAAGCAAGGTGCCAGCACGTTATGGCAGGGCTGGTGATTGTCACCTGGGCAGGCTGCAGCCGTAGGGGGAGTGAGGAGGGAGATGCTGGGCTCTGGCGTCGGCTTGGTCGGGGGGCCGCTTTCACGTCTGACCCTAACGGTCCCAGCTGCTGCTCTGGCCTGTGGGGAGGTGCCGGCTCAGACACGAATTCATGAGGGCACCCTCCCACAGGCCCCACGAGGGCACCCTCCCACAGGCCCGGTGTGAGGAGCTGTCGGGCCGTGTTGCAGGCCGGTGAGCAGGGGCGCAAGTGCCAGGTTCCTCAGGGCGGGGCCGGGATGCTCCGAGCCTGTAGAGCCGGATCAGCACCCACCGATTTACCCGGCAGCTCCTCACAAAGGGGTGATCTGGGGCAGCCCCGCTGGCTCCCCGAACCCCTGGGCAGGGCTTTGCCAGGCTGGCACTGAGCCCTGGTACGTGACTACGGTCAGGTCCCAAAGCCCAGGCCCTGGGTTCAAACCCTGCTCCCCCTGCCGAACCACCCGCTGCTACCAACTGCCAGTTGGGAGGGGGAGGGCTCATTAATGAGGCTGCCTAATTAATGACACAAATAATCGCTGAGCTAATTAAAACATTGGGCTCAAATCTACAAGTGCTAATTGGAAGTGAAGGTAAATGCAAATTGGCCTGGAAATAGTCTGTCCCGGCTCGGCAGGGGGCAGCCCCACACTCCGCCTCCTCCCCCGCAGTCTGAGCTGGCCCCGTGTGCCAGACGCCCCGCCAAGGAGCCACGGTTCTGCCGCCCTCTCCTCTGCCGGGGCACTGGGAGAGCAGCGCCAGGACCGGGTGCTCGGGCTGCCTGCGGGCGCCTGGCCCCCTCAGTGACCACGGCCCTCTCGCCCCGTGGCCCCCAGCCACTGCTTCAGGACAGGCCTGGCTCCACGGCTGCAGCGCCCGAGGAGCGGCTGGGGCTGGTGTCCCGGAGTCCCTGGGGGATGCTCTGGAACTGCTCCCCACGAAGCCAGGCAGGACTCTGGGGCAGTCGCCTTTCTGTGAGCAGCCTGTCTGCAGGACACACAGCTCACCCGGCTCCACCTTCCTGGGTCTGACCTTGGAGCATTCAGCCTCCTCTGCCCCTCCGTGCGCTTCCCCCAGCGAGTCCACCCAAGCGGGGTCCTGGGGGGCCCAGAGGGTCCTGCCCCCCAACTCCGCAGTCAGACGTGACTCTCAGCCAGCCAGTAAAACAGAAGGTTTATTAGACGACAGGAACATGGTCTAACACAGAGCTTGTAGGTGCAGAGAACAGGACCCCTCAGCTGGGTCCATTTTGGGGGGCAGTGAGCCAGACAACCATGTCTGCCCTTCACTCCATGGCCCCAGCCAGCCCCAAACTGAAACTCCCTCCAGCCCCTCCTCCCCTGGGCTTTGTCCCTTTCCCGGGCCGGATTCCTTTGTTCTCCAACTCTTTAGCTCTCACCTTGCAGGGGGGAAGGGCCCAGGCCGTCAGTTGCCAGGAAACAGGGTGTCGGCCATTCTCTGTGTCCAGACCCCTGCACACACCTGCCCTCTAGGGCTCTGCAACGATCATACACCCCCATCCCACCACCTAGATACTTAAGAACTGCCTAGGGGAAACTGAGGCACCCCCACAATATTCAGAGGAAACATTAAGAACAGTCCCACTTCGTCACAGAACAGCGTCACTTCGCCACCTCAGCCTGCAAACTGGCTCCCAGGCTGCCCCCACTTGCTCTGCCTGGCCACACAGTCCTGCAGCCCCCTGGGCCATGGCAGCGTGAGGGCTGGGGCTGGTGTGGCCTCGGCCCTGGGCCGCATGGCAGAACCAGGAGAGGAGGGCTCTGGCAACCCCAGTCAGGGCATGTCTCTCCCTGGTGCCCTGCGCTGGGGTGGGACTGGAGCCTGCTGTCAGAGCTGGCGAGAGACCCTGGGCCAGGTAGGCAGGTGCCCACCTGGGCTTTGCCCCTCCTGCCTGCTGGTGCACGTGGGGCTCTGGCTGGGGCTGGGCCCCCTGCAGGGACCCTGGGGAGGGGGGATGGCAGCTGCTTTCAGGGGCCGGGGAGGGGGTGCAAGGCAGACAGTGGCCAGGCGAGGACTGACCCCTGGCTGCCCCCAGGTTAGGGCTGAAATCAGGCCTGGGCGAGGGTGGGGGGAAGGGGCACGGCGAGGTGGGGAGGGGCAGGGCGAGGCAACGGGCTGTTACACAAGAACACAGTGACAAGCAGTTTCCTGTTCCCTGCCAGCTCGCCCTGTTCCCAGAAAGGGCTGGGCCTGACCCTTCCTGGGCCGCGTGGGTAGGGGAGGAAGCTGTGGGGTGAGCCTAGTGCCATCCCCACAGCCAAGCCCTGGAGTGCAGCTGCTGCGCCGTGGCAGGGGAGCTGGTCTCCTAGCGTCGGGCACTGCCAGCGGCCGGCAGCTCGCCCTGTTCACACATCAGCAGGGCCAGGTCCATGCTGGGCACCAGTGGGTGGCCTGGGGGTGGCGCTGGCCGGGGGTGCTGTGTGCCCCCAGGCTGTGAGTGGGTCTATCGCTTGGTGCAGGGGGTGCAGCGTCCTCAAGCCTTAGCTCCCCAAAGCCGCAGCCCCGGGCTGGGTTATCGCTTGGGGGCAGCCAGGAGGTGACAGCACCAGGCAGGGTTCAGGGGTTTGCCTCGGCTCGCCAGGCTCACCTCTGGGCTCCTGCCACTGGGGCAGATTGTCACCAGCTCCGGGTTGAGTTCCCGCGGCCCGGAGGGCAGTGCCTGGGGTGAGTTGTCCTATAGGACCCAAATTCCCCCGGCCCATGTCCTGTGGCCTTCCTCAGTGGTACTGGGGGGGTTGCCGAGGCAAAGCTCCGGCTGGTGTGCCCGTCAAGCGGCCATTCTGGGTCAGGCACCTGCTTTCCTCAGGTGGCTGTTGGTGCCCAGGTGGGCGCACAGTGCCACGGGGGCTGCGTTTCTGTGGGTGGCTCTGGGACACCCGGGCAGCGTGTGCCTGTCTCATGGCCTCCCAGGCCCCAGGCTCTCGGCTCCGTACGGCCCTTGGGAGGAACCCCCTTCAGAGCGACAGCCCTTCTCGGGGGTCCGCTCTCTCTCGGGGGTTAACCTGTAGGCCCCTCCGGCTCCCAGCACTGCACCCCTCTGAGCCTGCAGCATGCCTGGGCTCTGACATGGGCCCCCTCAGGGAGTCCACTCGCTCTGGGGCCCCGGGGCCTCCACCCCCAGAGGGAATAATGCCCACGCCAATCTCCAGCCTGCAGTGACTCTCAGCCAGCATCAAACAGGAGGTTTTTGAACATCTGAACCCAGCCCAGGCCGCTCTGAGGGCCCTGGGGCCTGGCCAGTCTCCGCACCATCCACCTGGGCATGTGCTGGGCTGGGCGTGTGCCAGGCTTTATGCTCTCTGGTTAATCAGTGCTCAGGGATCTGTCGCCCTCTGCACTCACAGGGGTGAAGCTGAGGATTCGCACCCTGCTGGGGCTGAGGCACTGGGGTGAGGTGTGGGGGCTCATGCTGGGGCCGCTCCACATGAATTATTGCAGCTGCTGAGCTCTGGGGCCGCTGGCAGGGGCTGGCAACTGGGGAGCCCCCGTGGCCCCCTGATTGCGGAGGGGCTCTGGGCTCTAGGGCAGGGCACTTGCAGGGGCCTGATCTTCCCAGAGCATGCCGGGTGCCTGGCCTGCAGGGTGGGGGCTGGGGGCCATAGGCTGGCTCTGCAGCTGCCCCTTGGCACAGGGAGCTCACCCTGCTCTCTGCCCCTCAGGCCCCAGATGAGTTCCGGCCAGGAGAAGCCCTTGGTGGGGAAGCCCCCCGGGAACCAGCTGAGCCCCACGTGCCCTGGCCATGGGCTGGCTGGTGTCAGCGAGAGCAGCAGCCCCCAGGTCCAGAGCTGGCACCTCACCACAAAGGTAAACCCCCACTCGCTGCCCCCCACTCGCTGCCCTGCTGCCCGCGGGCTCTGGTGGAGGCGCTCCCTGACCAGCCCTGCCTCCCCTCCCAGATGCAGAGCTCCCTGCAGCCCCTGTGCCTGTCCCTGGAGAAGCTCCATCGGGTCAAGGACAGCATGCTGGAGGCCATGGACCGGGGGCTGAGCCGCCGGACACACGCCCAAGCCACAGTGCGCATGCTGCCCACCTTCATCCGCTCCACCCCGGACGGCACCGGTAAGGGACCGGCTGTGGGGGCCCTCCTGGTACCAGCCCCAGGCTCCCCGTCCAGGGCCAGTGCTCTGGGGTGCTCCAGAGCTTGGGTGTCAGCACCTGCCCCCCCATTCCAGCTGGGCTGTGGCTGGGGGAGGGGAGCCATGCTGGGCCCCACACTAAGAACAGGGGCTTAGTGCTGCAGCCCAGAGGCAGGGCCCATCCCATCGTGTGCAGCTGCTGGGGGCCTGCACTCCTGCCTGCTTGCATGCCCATGGGCACCTTTGTCCCCGTCGCTGAGCACGCCGCCCCTGGCATCAGGCCTGCCCTGGGGACCTGCAAGCCCAGCGCTGCAGCCTGGTCAGTGAGCTACGCCCAAGAGACCCCGGCGGCACAAGCCGGCGATTGGAGCCCATCAGGGATGGTACCGCTGAGCGACTGGGTCCCTGGATCTGCCGGGCTGAGCAGCTCCTGCAGAAGCCAGGCAGGGCGCAGAGCACCAGCGACCTGGGGGTGCCCCCTGTATGCCGGGCTGGGGTGCCCGGGCCCTGACACCACGTCTGCTTGTTGGGCAGAGAGAGGCGAATTCCTGGTGCTGGAGCTGGGAGACACCGATTTGCGGGTGCTGCTGGTGGAGCTGTCGGGGGACACGCGCCAGACGGTGACGGTGAAGGACCGGCGTTTTCCTATGTCAGACGCAATCGCCCAGGGCCCTGGCGAGAAGGTACGGGGGCAGGGCCCCCTCACACCTCCTGGACACGGGGTGACCCACCTGGCAAGTGGGGGAGCAGGAGGTGGGACTGCGGCTGGCTCCATGCCAGCCAGGTCTCCGGGCCCCACCCAGAGGGTGCGCCAGGAGTGGGCAGCCTGGGGCTGGTGGGAGCTGGGAGCAGAGCCGGGAGCCGGCAGAGGGGCAGGCCTGGCCACGGGTGCGGGGCGGCCTCTGCTCTGCTAATTCCCAGCCTTGCTCCCCAGCTCTTTGCCTTCATGGCGACATGCCTGTGTGAGTTCCTGGACGGGCTCCGCTTGCCCCAGAGGGCCTTCCAGCTGGGCTTCTCCTTCCCCTTCTCCTGCAGGCAGACGCGGCTGGACCAGGTGAGCCCATCGCTCCGGGCCTGCGGCGAGCGCGGTAGGGGGGTTGGCCGGGAGCACTGGGGGCTCCCAGCAGGGGGCGCTGAAGGGTGGGTGTCTGGGAGCGTCGGTTGGGGGCTCCCAGCAGGGGGTGCTGAAGGGGGGGTTGGCCAGGAGCGTCGGCTGGGGGCTCCCAGCAGGGGGCGCTGCGGGGCGTGGGGCAGGGCTGCCTGACCGCAGTGCCTGGGCTCTTTCCCTGCAGAGCTACCTGATCTCCTGGGCCAAACGCTTCAAGTGCCCTGGTGTGGAGGGGAGAGACGTGGTGGAGTTACTGCAAAATGCCATCAACAAGCAAGATGTAAGGGGGAGTCCCAGGGCGAGGGGGAGTACAGGGTGGGGACCCCCTGGGTGGGGTGGGGCAGTGTGGGGTGGGGCCTCCTGGGTGGGGCGCCCCCTGGGTGGGGGTGGGGCAGTGTGGGGTGGGGCAGGGTGGAGGTCCCATGAGCGGGGCAATGTGGGGCGGGGTGGGGACCCCCTGGGTGGGGTGGGACAGTGTGGGGCAGGGCCCCCTGGGTGGGGCAGTGTGGGGTGGGGGGCTCCCTGGGTGGGGGTGGGGCAGTGTGGGGCGGGGTGGGGGTCCCCTGAGTGGGGCAGGGTGGGGCGGGGCCCCCTGGGTGGGGCAGTGTGGGGTGGGGTGGAGGTCCCATGAGCGGGGCAATGTGGGGCGGGGTGGGGGCCCCCTGGGTGGGGTGGGGCAGGGTGGGGCGGGGGCTCCGTGGACGATTACGGGGGGGCTGCTGATCGTGCCCCCTCTCTCTGCCGGCCAGCGCTACTGCATCAAGGTCATCGCTGTGGTGAACGACACCACTGGTACCATGATGAGCTGCGAGGCCAGTGCAGAGCCGTGCGAGGTCGGCCTGATTGTCGGTGAGTGGCCCCGTCCCGGCCGGGACGCCCCGGGAGCCTGGCAGGGCCTGGCGGAGCCAGACGGGGCCAGACGGGGCCGGGGCTGGCTCCGGCATTGGCTGGCACAGGCTGGCCGTGCACCCCAGCCCCTCACTGCTCCCCTGTACCCGGCAGACGCTGGCACCAACAGCTGCTTCATGGCGGAGGCGCGGCGCGTGGAGGTGGTGGAGGAGAACCTGGGCCGGATGGGCGTGGTCACCGAGTGGGGCTCCTTCGGGGACGACGGCACCTTGAACGACATGCTGAGCCCCTACGACCGGCTGGTGGACGAGACCTCCCTGAACCCAGGGAAGCAGAGGTGGGGTCAGGGGCCGGGGCCGGGGGCATCCCTGGCAGGGGAAGGGCACAGAGCATTGGCTTCCTCTGGTTCCCCATCGGTGGCATCTGCTCCCCAGTGCCTGAGCCAGGCCGCCCATGCCCCGGGCTCTCTGGGCCTGCCGGGCCCAGCCCCATGGCCGCCCATGCTCCGGGCTCTCCGGGTATGCCACACCCAGCCCCATGGCCGCCCATGCCCCGGGCTCTCCGGGCGTGCTGGGCCCAGCCCCACGGCCGCCCATGCCCCGGGCTCTCCGGGCGTGCCAGGCCCAGCCCCACGGCCGCCCATGCCCCGGGCTCTCCGGGCGTGCCGGGCCCAGCCCCACGGCCGCCCATGCCCCGGGCTCTCCGGGCCTGCCGGGCCCAGCCCCACGGCCGCCCATGCCCCGGGCTCTCCGGGCCTGCCGGGCCCAGCCCCACGGCCGCCCATGCCCCGGGCTCTCCGGGCCTGCCGGGCCCAGCCCCACGGCCGCCCATGCCCCGGGCTCTCCGGGTGTGCCGGGCCGAGCCCTACGGCCACCCATGCCCCGGGCTCTCCGGGTGTGCCGGGCCGAGCCCCATGGCCGCCCATGCCCCGGGCTGTGCTGTGCTGGGTTGTGGCCATGCCCAGGGAGCAGTGGCCCTGTGGCCATGCTGAGTGGCTGGCGCATGGCCCTGCCTGCCCAGCGCGCTGCTCACGCCCCTTCGCCCCAGCTCAGGTTCGAGAAGATGATCAGTGGCTTGTACTTGGGCGAGATCGTCCGGCACATTCTGGCCGAGCTGGCCACTCAGGGCGGGCTCTTCAGCGGGCGCACGACCCCTGCCCTCCTGACCAAGGAGTCGGTCCAGATCCGGGACATCCTGGAGATCACAGAGTAAGTGGGTCCCCGAGGCGTGGGATACACCAGCAGCACCCCCTGCTGGCCAGACCTGGCCTGCCCTGTGCACAGAGCCTGGCAGCCAATAACTGCTGAGACCTGCAACCTCATTCCACTTGTGACCGAGTGACACATGAGCCCACCTGTGCAAGTGGAGAGCAAGTGCCCCCATCCCCACACCCCAATGTCAGGGCTCTGCCCCTGCGCCCTCCCTGCACCCTAGGGGTGCTAGGCACACAGCCAGATGGAAGTCTCTGTGACCGCTGTGCCCTCCCCTGCCCCAAGGGCCCCAGGCCTGGAGGCTCATGGCAGGGCTCTGCCCCGTGCCCTCCCCTGCCCCAGGGGCTCCAGGCCTGGAGGCTCATGGCAGGGCTCTGCCCCGTGCCCTCCCCTGCCCCAAGGGCCCCAGGCCTGGAGGCTCATGGCAGGGCTCTGCCCCGTGCCCTCCCCTGCCCCAGGGGCTCCAGGCCTGGAGGCTCATGGCAGGGCTCTGCCCCGTGCCCTCCCCTGCCCCAGGGGCTCCAGGCCTGGAGGCTCATGGCAGGGCTCTGCCCCGTGCCCTCCCCGTGCCCCAGGGGCACCAGGCCTGGAGGCTCATGGCAGGGCTCTGCCCCGTGCCCTCCCCTACCCTAGGGGCACCAGGCCTGGAGGCTCATGGCAGGGCTCTGCCCCGTGCCCTCCCCTGCCCCAGGGGCTCCAGGCCTGGAGGCTCATGGCAGGGCTCTGCCCCGTGCCCTCCCCTGCCCCAGGGGCTCCAGGCCTGGAGGCTCATGGCAGGGCTCTGCCCCGTGCCCTCCCCTGCCCCAGGGGCTCCAGGCCTGGAGGCTCATGGCAGGGCTCTGCCCCGTGCCCTCCCCTGCCCCAGGGGCTCCAGGCCTGGAGGCTCATGGCAGGGCTCTGCCCCGTGCCCCAAGGGCCCCAGGCCTGGAGGCTCATGGCAGGGCTCTGCCCCTGTGCTCTCCTTCGCAGCGAGCAGGTGGGACTGGCCAGGGCGCAGTGTGTCCTGCGGCGGCTGGGGCTGGAGGCGAGCGACCAGGACTGCTTCAGCATGCAGCAGGTGTGCAGCGCCGTCTGCATTCGTGCCGCCAGCCTGTGTGCCGCCGGCCTGGCCGCCATCCTCAGCCACATGCGCAGGAACCGGGAGCTGACCCGCCTGAAGACCAGCGTGGCCGTGGACGGAGCCGTGTTCCGGGACCACGCCAAGTAAGGGCCCCAGGGAACATGGGGCCTGCTCCCAGCCGTGCCGGCCGCTCCTCCGAGGGACGGAGCTGTGGGGTCTCGGGTAGTGGGGCTGGTGCCGTGCCCTGGGCTCCGTGGCCCCAGCTGGGCCCCATGGCGACAGGAGGGAGCTGTGGGCCCAGCACCCTGGTGGGGGCTACGCTCCAGCTGGCTGGAGGCCTGGCTCCCCGACTCTCCCCCCTGCTGCCTCCTGCTCTAGGCCTGGCCCCTCGCCTGGCCTGGCCCCTTAGCCCCTCCAGACACTCCTGCGAGGCTGGGCCTGGCTCCTCGCCTCTCCCTGCCCCTCGGCTGCCGGTGCTCAGGGCGGGCCCTGTGGGCAGCTGGCTGCTCAGCCAGTCCTGCCAGCCCTGTACCAGGCTCTCCCTCGGCTCCCCAGGTTCAGCCAGACGCTGCAGCAGCTGGTGAAGAAGCTGGCCCCTGAGTGCGACGTCACCTTGGTGCAGGCGGAGGATGGCAGCGGCAAGGGGATTGCCATGGTGACCGCAGTGGCATCTAGGCTGGCAGCCCAGCGCTTCCAGGTGAACCAAACCCTGGCGCTGCTGAAGCTCTCGCCCGATGCCCTGGGCAAGGTGCAGGCCTTGCTGAGACGGGAGATGGAGCTGGGGCTGAAGAAGGAGACGCAGGCCACGTCCTCCGTCCGCATGCTGCCCACCTACATCTGTGCCACGCCCGACGGCTCGGGTGAGGGGCCGGCGGGCTGGGGATCTGCGGGGGGCACTGGCAGGGGGAGGCTGCGGGGGGCGTTCCTGCCTTGGTGTGGCTGGGGCCTGGACTGGCAGCCCAAGGGTGGGCACAGCCTGGGCAGCCGCAGCACCAGCTCCCCCCAGTGCTTCATCCCAGCCTGGGGTCCCTGCGGGCAGATGGGGGCACCTGGGCCTGGCCAGTCTGTGGCCTCCGCGGGGCGAAGGGTGGGGGCCTGCAGGGCTAGGCACGGGGCCGGGGGTGCGCCGGGCTGGCAGGCTCTGGGTGCCGGGAGCAGGGAGCTGGTGCCATGGCCCAGCCCAGCGCCTGCCTGGCTCTGACCCCCCCCCCCCCCGTGCCCGTTGCAGAGAGAGGCGACTTCTTGGCTCTGGACCTGGGCGGGACCAACTTCCGGGTGCTGCTGGTGCAGGTGGGCGCCCGGGAGCAGGGCGGCGTGCGGATCGTCAGCGAGCTGTACTCCATCCCGCCCCAGGTGGCCCAGGGCCCGGGCAGCCAGGTACTGCGGGCACACGGGTCCTGGGGTGCGGGCGCCAGCTGGGGGGGCTTCCTTCCCGCTCCGGGGGGGCTGGAAATGCTGCCCCTGCCGCTGGGTGGGCTGGGGCTGCCTGGGGTGAGCGCCACCCTGCTCCCAGAGAAATGAGTCTCCCCCTCTCACTTCCCAGCCCCTAGGCAGGGCCTGAGCCCCCAGCGTCCAGTGCCCCCAGGTGGGTGCCAGTGTCCTGGGCAGGCTGCCCCCCACTGACCCCGCCCCCGCCAAATCTCTGCAGCTCTTTGACCACATCGTGGAGTGCATCGCGGACTTCCAGACCAAGCAGGGCATGATGGGCCAGACGCTGCCGCTCGGCTTCACCTTCTCCTTCCCCTGCCAGCAGACCAGCCTGGACCAGGTGAGGGGCCGGGGCATCCGGCACTGCGCTGGCTGAGGGGACGTTGCACAGACACCCTGCCCGGGGCAGTTCAGCCGCTGCCCCGAGCTTCCCCCTTGGGGGGCTAGGCAGGGGAAACGTTCGGGCTGCAGCCCCAGGAGGAGGCCGGGACGTGCCGGGAGGGGGCTGGGGGGGGGCTGTGGCCCCAGGAGGAGGCCGGGACGTGCCGGGGGGTGGCTGGGGGGGCTGTGGCCCCAGGAGGAGGCCGGGACGTGCGGGGGGGAGGCTGGGGGATGCTGTGGCCCCAGGAGGAGGCCGGGACGTGCGGGGGGGAGGCTGGGGGGGGGCTGTGGCCCCAGGAGGAGGCCGGGACGTGCCGGGGGGGGGGCTGTGGCCCCAGGAGGAGGCCGGGACGTGCCGGGGGGTGCCTGGGGGGGGGCTGTGGCCCCAGGAGGAGGCCGGGACGTGCCGGGGGAGGCTGGGGGGGGGGCTGTGGCCCCAGGAGTTGGCCGGGACGTGCCGGGGGGGAGGCTGGGGGGGGCTGTGGCCCCAGGAGTTGGCCGGGACGTGCCGGGGGGGGAGGCTGGGGGGGGGGCTGTGGCCCCAGGAGTTGGCCGGGACGTGCCGGGGGGGAGGCTGGGGGGGGGCTGTGGCCCCAGGAGGAGGCCGGGACGTGCTGGGGGGTGGCTGGGGGGCTGTGGCCCCAGGAGGAGGCCGGGACGTGCCCGGGGGAAGCTGCGGGGGCTGCGGCCAGGGAAGGCAGCGTTTCTGTCCCTGCCTGTCTTCCCAGCGCCGCTGCCCCGTGCAGCAGCCTGATGCGAACCCGTGCGGGCTGGGGGGTGCCCGGCAGACAGGTGGGACTAGCCAGGTTGCTTCTAAGTGGAGTGTTCTGTCGCTTGTTAACTCTGAACACTAATGACTGGTCCCCAGGGCATCCTGCTGAGCTGGACCAAAGGATTCAACGCCTCGGGCTGTGTGGGGCAGGACGTGGTGAAGCTGCTCCGGGAGGCGGTGAAGCGCAAAAATGTATGGCACGGGGGCCTGGGCAGGGGGCCCGTGAGCCGGGCGGGGCGTTGTACTGGGCAGGTGGGCAGGGGTGGGGGGAGGCATCGTAGCGCCCGGCCGGGCATCGGGCCAGGCAGGGCGTTAGGTTCCCGGGTGGGGGGGTCAATAGGGGCGTTGTGCGAGGCCGGGCATCGCGCCAGGAGCATCGGGCAGGGGGTTAGGTTGCCGGCGGGGCTCAGGGCTGTGTGATGCTCTGTCTCAGCCTGACGGTGCCCGGCGATGGCCTCGCACAGGACGCTGGCGTGACGGGGGCAGGGCTGGAGCCCTGTGGCCCTCGCCCCAGTCAGCAGGTGGGGAGCAGAGGGAGGGGCCGTTTCCCAGGAGACGGGGAGGGCAGCGTGCCCGTGCCGTTGCCCTGGTGATGGGGAATTGTGTTACCGAGTAACGGGTCTCATTCTTCCTAGCATTTTGCGCTGGACGTGGTTGCCATAGTGAACGACACCGTGGGAACCATGATGTCGTGCGGCTACGACGACCCCAGCTGTGAGGTCGGCCTCATTGTGGGTAAGGGGCACCCCCCCCCAGTGCCCAGCGAGCAGTCACCCCCCCCCAGTGCCCAGCGGGCAGTGACCCCCCCAGTGCCCAGCGAGCAGTCACCCCCCCCAGTGCCCAGCGGGCAGTGACCCCCCCCATTGCCCAGCGAGCAGGCGCACCCCCCCAGTGCCCAGCGAGCAGTCACCCCCCCCAGTGCCCAGCGGGCAGGGGCACCCCCCCAATGCCCAGCGAGCAGTCACCCCCCCCAATGCCCAGCGAGCAGTGACCCCCCCAGTGCCCAGTGGGCAGTCACCCCCCCCAATGCCCAGCGGGCAGTGACCCCCCCAGCAGCCGGGGTACGTGTGTGTGTACAGGAGCTAGGACAGTGTTCAGCCCGCCCCACGCCTGCCCCCCAGCAGTGCTGGCCCCTTGGCATTGCCCCACTCCAGGGCTAGTGCAGCAGGGGAGGGGTCTCAGCCCTGGGGTGGGGCTGCCCCAGCCGCATCAGCCTGGCCAGGAAGAGCCCTGAGCTGATGCCCCCCGCCCCCCCAGGCACGGGCACCAATGCCTGCTACATGGAGGAGCTGCGGAACGTGGGCACCCTGGCGGGGGGGGAAGGGCGGATGTGCGTCAACACGGAGTGGGGGGCGTTCGGCGACAACGGCTGCCTGGACCCGTTCTTCACCCCCTTCGACAGACAGGTGGACGAGGCCTCGCTGAACCCCGGCAGGCAGAGGTGGGCAGGGCCGGGGCCACACCAGGGCTGGGCCGGGTGGCAGGGGTGGGGCACTGGGGGCAGAGGGACAAAGCAGGGGCTGCGCTGGGGCCATACTGGGGTGGGGGGAACAGTGGCCATGCCACGCCGGGCAGGGTTCCATGCCAGGCCTGGGCAGAGGCCGCACCGGGGCAGGCCTGGGCAGGGAGCTGGACTGGGGTGGGGAAGGGGCTGGCTGGGGCCATCGTGGGGCAGGGCAGAGCTGGCCAGGGGGTATACCGGGGCAGGCCTGTGGTGGGGGCTGTACCAGGGCAGGGCTGGCCAGGGGCTGTACCGGGGCAGGCCTGGGGAGGGGACTGGGCAAGGGGCTGTACCAGGGCAGGGCTGGTCGGGGCCCCTGCAGCTGTGCTGACGGCCTCTCCTTCTGGGGCAGGTTCGAGAAGCTCATCAGTGGCATGTATCTGGGCGAGATCGTCCGGTACATCCTGCTGGAGCTCACGGCCAAGGGGCTCCTGTTCCAGGGCCGCCCGTCCCCCAAGCTTCAGACCCGGGACATCTTCCAGACCAAGTTCCTGTCGTCCATTGAGAGGTGAGCGCGGTGCGGGCGCAGGAGGGGGAGCGGGGCAGGCGCTGTGGGTGCCGATGGCTCCTGGGACGCCGACTGCCAGGCAGGGCAAAGGGCTCCAGCCCTAGCTGCGGAGGTGTTCCTGGGATGGCAGCATGGGGGGTGGGGGCGAGGGCCCGAGGCCGCGCTGACCGTGCCCCTGGTGTCCCCACAGCGATGGCCTGGCCCTGCGGCAGGTGTGTGCCATCCTGGAGCAGCTGGGGCTGCACGTCACCTGCGAGGACAGCGTGCTGGTACGGGAGGTGTGCCAGGTGGTGGCCCGACGCGCGGCCCAGCTCTGCGGGGCAGGCGTGGCTGCTGTGGTGGAGAAGATCCGGGAGAACCGGGGCCTGGAACAGCTTTCGGTGACTGTGGGCGTGGACGGGACACTCTACAAGCTGCACCCACAGTGAGTGGGGGCAGGAGGGGCAGCTGGGCCTTGCTGGCACACGGGGGATCACAGAGGGTAGGGCGGGCAGTGAAGGGGGGCGGGTTTCAGGGCGCAGCGGGCACTGAAGGGGGCTGGTTGCAGGGCTTATGGCCTCACTCCCCCCTCTCTCTGCAGCTTCGCGCAGGAGGTGCAGGGGACTGTGCAGCGCCTCGCCCCACGCTGCAGCATCACCTTCCTGCAGTCAGAAGACGGCTCGGGGAAAGGGGCCGCGCTCATCGCAGCTGTTGCCTGTCGTGTCGCCCGCCACCAACGGGCCTGAGCCTGCCCGGTGTAGGGAGGAGCTCGGGGTCTCTGCAGGCCATTTGCACACACACCCTCCCCCACCCCCCCGCCGAGGCTGCTGGGTGGGCAGGGACCGGAACACCCCCACATGGGGCAGCACCCTGTGACGAAGTGGGACTGTTCTTAATGTTTCCTCTGAATAGTATGGGGGTGCCTCAGTTTCCCCTATACAGTTCTTAAGTCTCTAGGTGGTGGGGTAAGGGTGTATGATCATTGCAGAGCCCTAGGGGGCATGTGTGTGCAGGGGTCTGGACACAGAGAATGGCCGACACCCTGTTTCCTGGCAACTAATGGCCTGGGCCCTTCCCCCCTGCAAGGTGAGAGCTAAAGGGTTGGAGAACAAAGGAATCCGGTGACCTCCTGGCCCGGGAAAGGGACAAAGCCCAGAGGAGGAGGGGCTGGAGGGAGTTTCAGTTTGGGGCTGGCTGGGACATGGAGTGAAGGGCAGACGGGGTTGTCTGGCTCACTGCCCCCCAAAATGGACCCAGCTGAGGGGTCCGGTTCTCTGCACCTACAAGCTCTGTGTTAGACCATGTTCCTGTCGTCTAATAAACCTTCTGTTTTACTGGCTGGCTGAGAGTCCCGTCTGACTGTGGAGTTGGGGGGCAGGACCCTCTGGCTCCCCCAGGACCCCGCCTGGGCGGACTCGCTGTGGGAAGCGCACAGAGGGGCAGAGGAGGCTGAATGCTCCAAGGTCAGACCCAGGAAGGTGGAAGCTGGGTGAGCTGTGTGTCCTGCAGACAGGCTGCTCCCAGAAAGGCGACTGCCCCAGAGTCCTGACTGGCTTCATGGGGAGCAGTTCCAGAGCATCGCCCGGGGACTCCGTGACACACCCCTCCCCGTCCCCTGTGCTTGGCGGCCGGCGCGAGCCCCAGCTAGCAATATAGATCCGATTTATTTACATGGTGCCCGCTAGCCCCCCCCGCACGGTGCCCGCTATGTACATAAGGCCAAGTGTAAATACGCGAATGCACTTGAATACAGAATTAAAAACCGATCTTTACACAACATGGGACGGGGCCTGGCACCGCCTGGCCCCACACGGTTACAGCACGCACGACGCACAATGCCCGCTGCACACACAGCACCCGGATGGGCTGGGCTGGAGCCACGCTACCCATCCCAGCACCCGCCAGAGCCTCCCACCCGCAGCCCCTGCCATGGCCTGTTCTTTGGCTCCAAGACGCCCCCCGTGGGGACTGGCTCTGGTGTCGGGCAGCCCCTTGGCATGCGGGGGGCGGAGGGGGCGGCAGGGGAGTCCTCAAGGGGCCCTGGGGCAGCAAGGGGCACAGCCCCCCACACTCAGTCAGTGCCAGCACTGGGGAGCTGGTGCCCACCCAGAGGTGGGGGCTGCAGCTGAGGGGCAGCCAGCTCCCTGCCCCCTGCACAGGCAGCAGGGGCACCAGAGACCCGGGCGGAGCAGCAGGGGCAGGAGCCCAGCACAGGCCCCCGGGGGTCGGAGCTGGCACCTCTGGGGCAGCAACACCCACACTGCTGCCCTGGGGCCTGTGCTCCCCGCTCCGCAGGGCCCCAGCCCCACCCCGCCCTGGCCCCTCAGCACTCGGCCTCCGAGACGGCGAAGAGGGCACTGTCCTGTTTGCCCACCTCGGCCACGGCTGCGGCCAGCTGTGCCAGGTTCCCGCTGGGGAAGTGCCGCGCCTCCCACAGGTTCAGGATCATGGCGGTCGGGCTGGCCTTCGAGGCAAAGAAGCTAAGATGGCTGCAGAGGAGAGGGGAGGGGGCGTTAGCCGGGAGCTCCATCCCCGCCCCCGCCCAGGGCACCCTCTGCTCTCACGGGCTGGTCGGCCGGGGGGGTTGGGTCCACAGGCCCAGGTGGGGCCCACTTCACCGAGTGGGGTGTGCTGCCTGGGTCTCCTCCCAGGTGGGCCACTGCCCGCCCGCCCGTTCCAGGAGCCCTGCCAGCTTCAGGGGGTGCAGAATGTGGCCAAGCAGCCCTGCTCCCCACCACCGCTCCCTGTGCTCTGCGCTGGCTCCTGGGGGCCGTGGCGGCTGGGTGAGAGGTCTGGCGCTGGGATCGCTCCCTGCCCCCAGTGCCCTGCCCCCGGGATTGCTCCCTGCCTCCAGTGCCCTGTCCCCAGGATTGCTCCCTGCACCTGGTGCCCTGGCTGGAGGACGCTCCCTGCCCCTGGTGCCCTTACACCGGGATCACTCCCTGTCCCCAGTGCCCTGGCGGGGGGGTGCTCCCTGCCCCCAGGATCACTCCCTGCTCCCAGTGCCCTATGTGACAAAGTGGGACTGTTCTTAATGTTTCCTCTGAATAGTGTGGGGGTGTCTCAGTTTCCCCTAGGCAGTTCTTAAGTCTCTAGGGGGTGGGATGAGGGTGTATGATCATTGCAGAGCCCTAGGGGGCAGGTGTGGGCAGGGGTCTGGACACAGAGAATGGCCGACACCCTGTTTCCTGGCCACTGATGGCCTGGGCCCTTCCCCCCTGCAAGGTGAGAGCTAAAGGGTTGGAGAACAAAGGAATCCGGTGACCTCCTGGCCCGGGAAAGGGACAAAGTCCAGAGGAGGGGGGGCTGGAGGGAGTTTCAGTTTGGGGCTGGCTGGGACATGGAATGAAGGGCACACGGGGCTTCACTGTCTGGCTCACTGCCCCCCAAAATGGACCCAGCTGAGGGGTCCTGTTCTCTGCACCTACAAGCTCTGTGTTAGACCCTGTTCCTGTCATCTAATAAACCTTCTGTTTTACTGGCTGGCTGAGAGTCACGTCTGACTGCGGAGTTGGGGGGCAGGACCCTCTGGCTTCCCCAGGAGCCCCGTCTGGGCGGACTCGCTGGGGGAAGCGCACGGAGGGGCAGAGGAGGCTGAATGCTCCGAGGTCAGACCCAGGAAGGTGGAAGCCGGGTGAGCTGTGTGTCCTGCAGACAGGCTGCCCCCTGGGATCGCTCCCTGCCTCCAGTGCCCTGCCCCTGGGATCACCCCCTGCCTCCCAGTGCCCTGGCAGGCGGGATGCTCCCTGCTCCCAGGATCGCTCCCTGCCCCCAGTGCCCTACCCCTGGGATCGCTCCCCGTGTCCTGCCCTGGGATCGCACCCTGCCACAGTCTCCTGGCAGGGGGATCGCTCCCTGCCCCCAATGCCCTGCCCCTGGGATCGCTCCCTGCCCCCAGTGCCCTGCCCCTGGGATCGCTCCCTGTGTCCTGCCCTGGGATCGCACCCTGCCCCCAGTGTCCTGGCGGGGGGATGCTCCCTGCCCCCGGTGCCCTGCCCCTGGGATCACTCCCTGCCCCCAGTGCCCTGCTCCCAGGATTGCTCCCTGCCCCCGGTGCCCTGCCCACGGGATCGCTCCCTGCCCCCAGTGTCCTGCCCCTGGGATCACTCCCTGCCCCTGGTGCCCTGGCGGGGAGACGCTGCCTGCCCCTGTACCTGTCCAGGTGGAGTTTCTGGGCCAGCGTTCTCCAGTCAGCCCCACGGGCGCAGGGCGTGTCCAGGCTGCTGATGATCTTCTGGCGGATGAGGAAGGGGATCTTGAAGGCACTGGGGCCCACCAGGGCTGGGCAGCCGGCCTCGCTGTCGGGCACCAGCCAGTCCGAGAAGCTCGTGTCCTAGGTGTCCAGCAGGGAGAGGGGTGAGCAGGGAGGGGACCCACAGCCCCGAGCGGCAGGGCCCCAGGCCTGGAGGTGGGGCTGGGCGGCAGCACCCCCTGCAGATCTCACCTCTGCTGCCAGCTCCTGCGGGGCCTTCGGGGGGGCTGGCACCCGCCTGCATCGCGGCAGCCTGGCCCTTGGGGAGCTGCTGCCCTCTCGTCCGCTGTGCCCCGTGACCGGCGGGGGGCCATCCAGTGCCATGGCCATGGTCCGGGATCCCGGCTTCCCTGGCACTGGGGCCTGGCGCGCGCCCGCAGGCAGCCCCCCGCCCCCACACTGGCTCCAGGGCAGCCCCCCACCCCCGCACTAGCTACGGGGCAGCCCCCCCGCCCCCACACTGGGGCCTGGCACAAGCCCGCAGGCAGCCCCCTGCCCCCACACTGGCTCCGGGGCAGGCCCCCGCCCCCACACTGGGGCCTGGAGCACGCCCTCTGGCAGTCCCCTGCCCCCACACTGGCTCTGGGGCCTGGCACATGCCCGCAGGCAGCCCCCTGCCCCCACACTGGGGCCTGGCACATGCCCGCAGGCAGCCCTCCGCCCCCACACTGGGGCCTGGAGCACGCCCGCAGGCAGCCCCCCAATCCCGGCCCGCTCACCTTGGCGATATTGAGGTTGATGCTGAAGCTCTGCCCGTCGCCCTCCACCTGCCAGACCCAGACCTTGCAGGCCAGCTGGCAGGTGCTGGGGCTGAGACGCTCCAGCGTGAAGGTGCAGTGCAGGAAGGGCTGCAGCCCGCTCCACAGGTGGTAGAAGGGGATCTCCTGCGGCGGAGGGAAGCCGAGGGTCACTCCCGCCTGCCCTGGGTCTGCTACAGGGCTCTCGGGCTTCAGGGGAGGGGCAGGAATCCCCCCAGCCTCCCCAGGAAGCACCAGAGACCGGCCCCTACCCTGGCCGAGAGCAGGAGCTCGGGGCAGGATGGGGGGCAGGGAAGAGCAGGGCATCCCTGCCCGCCCCTGGGGCTCGGAGCCTGCTCGGCCATGGCGCTGCTGCAGGGCTCGCCTGTCCTGGCGTGGGCAGAGCTGGGCCTTGCCCTGGAGGCTGGCGGGGGCAGAGTGGGTGCCGTAGGCACGGCTGGCTCGCCTACCTGGTAGCTGGCGAGGAGTTTGCTCTTCCACAGCGAGCTGGGCATGTCGTGGATGGAGAGGCGCAGGTTGTGGTAACTGTCCTTGAAGTGCAGGACACGGGGGGCTCCGATCAGCTGCCCCCCCAGCTGCTTCTCCAGCTGCATCACCTCCTGTTGGGAGACGGACGCTCAGCCAGGGAACGAGCCCCAGCCTGGGCCAGCCCCCAGCCCCAGCCGGGCAGCCAGCCTGGGCCAGCCCCTAGCCCCAGCCAGGCAGCCAGCCTGGGCCAGTGCCCTCTCAGCATGGGTCCTGGATCCGGCTGTGCCCAGCAGCTAGCGGGGGGAACAGAGTACCCCTCACCCCTCAGGTGCCTCCTGGCTGACCACCCCACCCCCGCCCTAGGGTCCACAGCCTGTCCCTGGGCACCCCTGGCCCCAGTGACAGGGGTGGGCTGAGCAATGCAGCTCTGGGGGCCTCATGGCATGGGGGGAGCCCGTTGCCTTTCTCTGCAGGGCTCA